TTTTTCTGATCAATGTTGCTGATTAATTACCTAATTAAAGGAAAAAAATAACAAAGGAAGGGCCTCCTGGCACCGGAAGGTATTTATGTGCGTCCTAAGGGCTCTCGTGTCTCCCAGGCCTGGCTCCCGCTCAGGATACTGCGCTGCCACAAGGGGAGGAAGCGGGGGGCCCCACCTCATTGGCCCCTGAGCAGGAAACTGTTCTCCCAGCCGAGGGGAGGCCAGGGAGTAAGGAAAAGGGAAAACAATGTCCTCCTGCCCAGGCTCGCGCAGGGCTCTGTCCAGGCGGACGGAACTCTAAGTCCAGGCTTTCACCGACGGCCAAAGGATGAAGCCCATCCCATCCCGTGTGAGGTCGGTCCGTCCCCCGTCCTGCGTCCCCCGGCCCCGCCTCCACCCCAGGGACTCCCAGTCAGGGCTGCCGGCCAGGTGCCTGCCTGCCCGGTGCGGCTCCCCTGTCACGGGGCAGGGTTTCTCCCTGACCCTCAATGGGGGCATTTGCATTTGAAAATGAAACTGGAGAGAGCAACCTCCTGCTGGAAGCGTGACTCTCCCTCGTCGGAATCCCAGGCGCCCCGGTCCCCTGAGTGGGAGCTGGGCGCCGGCTGCAGGGCCGGGACAAGCCCCGGGGGCTGTCAGGGTGACCCTGGAGTGGCGCTGTTTTGGGGGGCCCCCCGTCCTGCCCCAGCACGAGGCAGCGCCTCTGTGGCTTCCAGGGATTCAGACGTTTGTCCCCGCGGGCCTGGGTGCCCCCACACTGCGGGGGGTGGCTGCAAGGACAGCAGGCACTGGCCCTGGCCACCGCGGCCCCTCCCCCCAGGCACTGCTGTCCCTTGATGAGGAGGAGGGAGAACGGCAATCAAGTGGCTCCTGACCCCGACGTCACGAATAAATGTCACCAGATACTCTCTAACCTCAAAAAACACACAAAGCTTAATTGGCAGCAACCTTGCTAAGTAACTCCAGCTCCCGCCGTCTCAGCCCCTGCCACCGCAAACCCAGCAAAGGACGCTGTCACACGGAATTCATGAGCTCATGTCAGCACGTCGTTGACCAGCGCTGAATTATTTACTCCGCTGGTACCACTGTCTCTTTCCCTGGTAATATAACAGGGTCACCGGGCAGAAAATCATTTCACAGTGAAAGGGAAAAGGCACCTCGAAGAGCAAACAGACCGACAGCCGTGGAATGCGCCCCTCACCCCGGGGAGCAGCCCTGCCTGCCGCAGGCCACAGGCCACCCGCCAACCCCCTCCCCTCCCCTCGGCGCCGGCCGTTTCTGAATGTCACCCCCAGGCTCTGACAGTCGCTCTCCTCTGAGCCCCTCTCCTCCTCTGTCTTATTCAAACCGCCCGACTCCGTGACTGTCCCCTCCCCCGGGGAAGGCGTTCGTCAAAGCCTGCCAAGCTATTCACAGGGAACCGGCCCGCCCCCAGAGGGCCCGGCTGTTAGTGCCCAGGGCTGCGGTCCCCGCAAGTGGCAGATGTGACCGGCCTGGCGGGGCAGGGCTCCCAGACGCGGGAGGAGGTGCGGCGGCAGATTCAGCCCTTGTGTTCGGGCGCCACCTCCCGCCAGCCTCGGTGCCCTGCTGCAGACACCAGCCGCGTCCGCGCGAGCCGCGCCGAGCCCTCCTGGGGGATGAGGGCAAGCCAATAAATATCAAATGCCGGTGGCACTTGTCACAGCCTGGATGTCCCAATTAACACCCAAGCCATTTCCTCTTCGAGCGTCAGGGAGCATCATTGTGGGAAAAAAGGTTCCACGGCAGACTCAACCTCCATCAAAACCCCGCCGACTCGGTGCCAGCGGGCTGCCGCCCTCCTTCCTCTCTGCCCCGCGGGGAAGCCACGCGGGGGACCCCCCGCACCCGCGCTGTTCCGGAGGCAGAGGCTGACAGGCCCCAGGTGTGTGTGGGCGTCCGTCCAGGATCCAGGGCTCCTGGGGGTCTCCACTGAGTCCAAAACCCAAGAGAAACAGAGGAGCTACCCCAAGCTCCCAAAGGGGGCTGTACTACCCCCCGGCCCTGACGGCTCTGCAGGCCAGCACTGGACAGACGGGGGCCAGTCCCGCCACTGCGCTGGCAGGCAGGGAGCAAGCCTCCCAAACGAGGGCGCACAGGGTCCTGAGAAGGTGGCACACATTCCGGGGCCAGCCTGCGTGTGGAGCCGCTCTGCAGCGGGCAAGATGCGCGGCCCAGCTCGTCGCCAGCCCGAAGCCCCTCCGAGGGTTCCCCGCCGCGCTGGCGCCCTCGGGACCCTGCCACGCAAGCCCCTTTCCCTGGACCTGACCCCTGCCGCGCGGCAGGGAGGCCGGAAGCAGCCCCTGTGGCTCCCTTCATCTGATGAGCAAGACTCAGGGGCGCAGAGGGGCCTGGGATTGTAGGAGACAAGTACCTGTTTATCAGGCGATGACAGAGGGAGGGTGTGTGTGGTCAGGGGGCGTGACAATGTCAAGTCTGCACAGAGGCGCGCGCCTTCCCAGGAGACGCCAGCAGAGTCCTGCAGCTCAAGCTGTGCAAATCACCTCGTTGTTGTCTGTCTTTCCCTCTAAGATGGCTGATGTGGTTGTAACAGGATTTCAAAGGCCTTGCCTTCCTGTTCATACTCCTGGGTCACCAATGGTCTGGGTCTAGTGACCATTCTTTTCTGTTCATGAAGGACCACAGTGCCCACCTGTTCGTGCTTTGCAGGTGGCGATTTTTACCGTTTTGTGCCGCCTGTTGAACACGGAGGGCGAGCCGGGGAGGGTGGGAGGTGTCTCCGCGCCCCGAGGGGCATGCCCCTGCCTGTCAGGACGCTCGCCCGCCGGAGGCCTGACATCCGGACCAGGTTTTGCAGTAGTTCCAAAGCCCCTCTCTGGCTTCATACATCTGTCCCCTACTCACGGAGGGGCTTTGGGAGTCACACGCCACAAAGCCAGGTTCCTTTGCTGTCCAGCCTTGTCCCCCGCCAGGGGTGAGGGGGGATTTCCTGTCAGCTCCTCTCCCCCCCCCCGCCCCCGCTTCCCCACGTTGCGGATCTGAATGGACTCACACACGTGCAAGCACACGGCTCACGGCCCAGAGCCAATGGCTGCTTCCCCAGAGCTGAGCGCAGGCCAGCAGAGGCGAGGGGACATGTGAGCTGTGCGCGTGCACACCCCACGCAGCCTGCAGTGACATCCCTGCCCACCGTCCAGGTCCTCGGGAAGTACCCCAAACGCCCAGGGGAGGAGGCCTCTGAGGACCCCAAAGAGACTCCTGCTCATCAGACGCTTCATCGTTAAACCCAAACCAAGCTTTCCCCAGTGGGCTCAGATCCCAGTAAAACCTCCTCGGGAGCCGGAGAGATCTGTTGCAGGTGTGTTTCAGACCCGTGGCATCAGGAAAGCCTCCGAGAGTGACTGGCGGGAGCGATCGACAGAGAAGCCTGGATCTGAGAAACCGGTGTTTGGCTGCACGTGTCCGGCGGCACAGCCCCTGCTGTCGGGAATCCCGGGTGGCGGGTCTCCCTCCGGTTTGGAGCCTGCTGCTGCCTCTTGAGCGGGGTTGCGAGGCCGCCCTCCTGGCAGCATCAGCCCTTTGATATATATATTTTTTAATTTCATTTATTTGTTTTTACAGAGAGAGGGAGAGAAACATCCACGTGTGTGGCTGCCTCTCGCGCACCCCCTATTGGGGACCTGGCCCGCAACCCAGGCCTGTGCCCTGGCGGGGAATTGAACGGGCGACTCTTTGGCTCACAGGCCAGCGCTCAATCCACGGAGCCACACCAGGCAGGGCAGTCTTTTGATTCCTGAAACCAGAGCACCCAAATTCTCAGCAGAGAGGGCGTGCCTGGCAGGAACATCAGAATGGACAGTAGTACCACTGAGCCTGAGGAATGGCCCCTGGGACCACTGCGCCTGGGTCCCCCCTACACGCCCCCACCAGCACCACCCCCAGCTCTCCCTGTCAATACCCGACGTCTGGACCAGCATGCAGGTCAAGGGCAGAGCAGGGCCAGGGAAGTTCACAATCTTGAGCCCCGGAGGCTGCCCCGGTTTTGTGAGAGCGCAGACTACGGTGGCGCTCGGCGCCAGGCCCCGTTTCCCCGCGGATGTCATCCTGCGGAGCGCTCCCAGCCACCCCGGGGCAGATGCTGCGGTCAACGCCGCGGTGCAGACGAGGCCGTCCTGCCGTGGGCAAGCAGCGCAGGCCTCCTCCGCGCACACGCCTGGTTTAGTCATTTAAAAGAAACACGAAAGAAAAAATGCTACATGTACGCATACAGACCTATGTGTACACACAGGTGTATCTACGTGCGTGCATATGCATGTGTGTATATGCACGTATGTACACGTGAAATGTATAAAATCATACATCGACTCTTTTAACTGGGAGGATTACAACTTTCACTGAAGACAAAGCCTTCCCTGTTCCCATTACAGGTTTGCTAGTATTTCTTCAGGGTCATGACCCCTCCTTAGACTTAAAGGAATGGCAGGCAATTTCCTAGAAGGGCCCCAGTTTTCATCGAAATGCACTTCTTTCATAGTTGAGGTTTAACCCTTCCGAGCTTGCCAATGCGACTCTCTTGAGAACTCAATTGAACGGCCTCAAGGTCTTAAAGCAGCAATCGCAAGACCCAAACGCACACGGGTGTTCACCGTAGAATTCTTTCCTTTTCTTGGATACGTGAGGATTTTTATTATAAACTTGTGGGGGGCGGTCACCTGCAATGCCGTCGACTTCCCGTGGAATATAAAATCACGAGCGGGAAAACACCTGTGTCCTTGTTGGAAAGTTTATTATTCACAGCTATAACGAAAGAGACAAAATTAAGCCCTGCAGGCGCCCTGGTCGCAGCGGTGCTGCTTCCAGCCACCCCCGCCTCCGACACGAGCGGCGGAAGAAGCCCATCGCGCAGACACGCAGCGGAGCGGCCCTCTCCCGGGCGCCTGCGCCCCCAACAGTCGGCGCGCTCGGTGACGTCACGGGCGGCGCCACGCGGAGCGCCGAGCGCCTGCGACCCCGCCTGCGAGCCCGGGAGTGTCACTCTGTGGACATCGCGTGCGGCTCGCGCTCGGGAACAAGGAGCCTCTCCATCACCGACTTTGAGGACAGAGGCTGCGGTGATCGAGTGCTGCTGACGAAGCCAGCGAGAGGTGAAGCGTGAGCGGCAATCTCGGTGACGTCATCAGAGCGCGCCGGAAGCGGTCCAGAATGAAGCGTAAGCGGGGACAGGGTCCTGGGTGCTGGTGGCGGAGAAGGGTCGCTGCGCGGTGCGAAGGGGATTGCTCTGGAAGTTATCGCACCTTACATCGGGGAAATGAGGTCCAGAGTCCCGCCTGGCCTGGCCCCGTCCGTGGGGCAGGGGTGGATGCGAGAGCTGGAGGCCGGCTCCTCGCGACTGCTCTGCGGTGCGGGTGCGAGACGACGGCCCGGGGCCTTCGCGCGGCTCAACCGCGACCTCTCTGTAGGCGCCTGTAGGCAGTTGTAGGCAGGGCGTTTGCACACCACTGACACTGGACTTTGATTGGAGTTGTGATTCGTCCCCCCGCTTCCGGTCCCTGCCTCTGTGATCAAATTATGCATCTCAGCGTACCTGAGCTCCAATTTTCTCATGTCCATACTAGGATTAATAACTACCTTAAAGGATTGGTCAGAAGATGTAATGAGAGAAAATATGTGTAGCCATTAAGGAGGTAGATGGCAAGTAATGAGTGCTCAGTGACCGCTAGATGTGCATTGTTACAAAAAAAGACTTTCGGGTCTAGGCACCTGAGACAGGTGAAGCAGTCATTCCCGGGGTTGTGGACCTTGCAAGTTGCTCTCTACAGGCGGGTTGTAATCCCCATCTTACACCGGAGGGAGAACCAGACTCTGTATATAAAACCTGTACTCGCTCTGGTTTGCTGTATCAGATGAATGCAGGGACACACAAGGGAAGTGGGGTGAAATCTATGGAGTGTAATGTGAACCATATTTTCTAATCTTCTGGCCCTTAAACCAGGCCTTTGTCTTATGCTTATTTTGGTCACATCCATACTCTGTCCCGAGTGCCACAGTTCTCTTCTTCAGACAAATTAAGTGAGAAGCAGCAGTGAAAGTTTTTAGAGGTCGAAACCATGTTGGTCAATATATATATTTTTTGAGCTTGAAGACAGACCTGCCTACTGTATTTTATCAGTTTTGGACAACATCAATTATGTCGTACATTCTAATTTCATAGATACTAAACTGTGAAAGGTCTTTTTAAACATATTACAGTTCACAAAATGTAATAATCCCAACTCTCTGCATCGCATAGCTTTTAAATGAGCTACTTCACTACAAATTGAGCAACTCCTCAGGCTCCTGGCCTGCGGTGTTCCAAACGAGTGCAGCTTCACCTGCGGTTCCACCTGAGAATTCACTTCAGACCCGAATTCTGGGCGTGGGGCCCCAGAATCTACATTGTAATAAGTCCCAGAGGTTTGAGAAGCACTGTTTTGAAGCCCAGCCTGTGGGATTCCTATGATGGATGAGGCCAGAGAGCAGGATAAGAGGCTTCCAAGAAAGCTTCCCAGCTGTGCCCCTTGTACCACCCCGCATTCCCCTGTCTCTGAAGAAGCATCGCTATTTTCACAGTTTAAGACGTCTTGGGTCTTCAACCCAACAGGGATCACATCGTGTCTGTTTTTCAATCCTCCAGGTTTCATCTACCACGCCCTGTCTCCGAAAGAGGCAAAAGACCTTGATGTTCAGGTAGGTGCTTGGCAGGGAGTCTGGGAGCACGGGGGGTGATGACAAAGATGGCTCGGCGGCTTCAAAGCCTCTAGGGCTTCCCTAGGTGTCCTTTCCCGTGTCGCACTTCTCATCGTCCCTGCGGACGTGTTAGGCTCAGTCAGGGTCTGCTGTTCTGGTGACCTGTCTCCACACGCGGGTCTCCTCTCCCGACGTGCCCAGGTCAGGCTTGGTTAACCAGGACTTTGTGATCTGTATCATCTCCAACTGTGTAGGGGACGCCAGGCTGTGTCCGTCGGGAGCCTGCCCTGGTGGCCACTGTCATTTGATCTAGTCACTGTGCCCTCTTCACCCCCAAAGAGGGCAGGCGAGTCACATTTCGTGAGATGTACGAGGTGAGGCTGGACGCGGCCGCGACAGAAGCTGCCATGGTAACAGACTCGGGATGGGGAGATGCCTCGACACCAAGATTTCGAAAGACTGATGGACCCTTTTTGGCTTCTCCACGGAGGGGCCATGTAGGTGTCTAGGATGGTGCAATAATCGTTCTCTCACCGCGACACTAGTGATGATGATGCACTTGTAGCTCACCGTGCCGTGCCCTGCTTGAACACCATGCACGTCTCATCCTCGCCATGGATGCAGCAGCCTCAGCGTGTCGCAGCCTGCTTAGAACGACAGGGTCCAGGACATGGCTGGGCCAAGAGGCAGGGCCTCGGCCAATGGCACTCACGGGCTGGGGCAGAGACCCCTGGGTGGGGGCAGACGGGGGCGACTGCAGCTTGAGAGGCAGGGGTGTTGGGGTCCTTTGCAGACCTACAGGCAGCTGTGACCGTCACGCTGCCAGACGCCCTCTCTGGGAGCCTGTGCCCCGTCACGATCATGTGAAGCTCTTCTGTATGGTCAAGAGAGTGGGTGGGATGCTGAGTCGCGCTGCCCGTTCCTCCCCCGGGGGAGGCGGGAGCAGACGAGGAGGGAAGCCGCGACCACGCACCCGGCTGGCGACCCACGCGAGGAGGGGCGCGGCGCGGCACGGCGGGGACTCCACCCCCGGGCGGCCGCCCTGCAGCCCCAGCCATGCCGCTTTCCCAGGGTTCAGACCATCTCCCCGGGGCCCGGGGCCGCTCTGAGCTCGCCTCTGTCATCGCAGATTACATGTCATTGTCATACATTCCTCAGTCTCCCTGCCAAAGATCAGGGAAGTCTTTTCTTCCAAGTACAGAGGTGGTTTCTCTTCCTTTTCATCAGAATAATCTCAGAGAAGCAGGGTAGGCAGCCGGCATTTGACCTGGCCGTCTTGCATGACAGCCACAGACTGGCATGTGAGTGTGACTTTTGCATTGGGACAGCTGTGGGTGGGGGACACGCAGCCTGCGGGGGGCTGTGTGAGCCCCGGTCCGCGGAGGCGGCCTGTCTGTGGGAAGACGCAGCCCCGGCTGTGCCTCACGCAGCAGCGATCCCCACCCTGCCTTGTCCCCCGCAGCACCCGGGAGCCCAGCGGGCCGAGGCCTTCGTGAGGGCCTTCCTGAAGCGCAGCACGCCCCGCATGAGCGCGCGCGCCCGCGAGGACCAGCTGCAGCGCAAGGCCGTGGTTCTGGAGTACTTCCCTCGCCGGAAGCGGAAGGAGACGAAGAAGAAATCCCGGGGCCTCTCTGCCAGGCAGAGGAGGGAGCTGCGGCTCTTCGACGTTAAACCGGAGCAGCAGAGGTAGCCTGCCTCCCTGCCTTTCTTCCGGGAGGGCGCTGAGTGCTCCTGGCTCCTGGTCTGGGTGGGAATTTGGGAAGCCCCTGCTCCGCCCGCGCTAAGGGAGCCTCTCCCGCTGCTGCCACCAGGGGGCAGCCTTTCTTTACCAATACCGACTGGGTTTTCGTCCCCCACCCCTTTTTTTTTTAAATCCTCACGTAGGACTGACTGACTTTACTTACTGGCTTACTGGTTTTGATTTTAGAGAGAGGAGAAAGGAGGAAGAAAGGGAGATAAGCATCAGTTGGTTGCTTCTCATGCCCAGACCCGGACCAAATCCGCAGTCCCTGCATGTGCCCAGGGCCTGAACCCGTGACCTTTCGGTGACCTTTCGGTTTAGCCTGCGCTCTAACCAGCTGAGCCACACTGGCTGGGGCTGGGTTTAGCTTTGAATGCCAAGGCTGATGAGACTGGCTGGCTTCTGTCCCGTTGCCTGTGGCAACAGGCTGTTTGTCATTCAGCTTTTATAGGGAAAGAGGAACTGGGATTTCTTAGCATGTATCTGTTTATAGCTCTTAATAGCACTAAGCAGAATGACCCGCTGGGCTTTTAATGCCACAGACGTGCTGCCCACATGTTCCGGAAGCTTCCACAAGGAACAGGTAGCTCTTCGTGGGAGGCTGTGCCCCCTGCCCCCGCTGACACGCCGCCCTGCCCCGCCACGGCCCGGGGTACGCGTGCCTTGGCACCGTCTGTGCACTCATGCTTCGAGACCTGCGCCAGACAGCTTCCCACACCCACGAGACAACGTGTCACTCTGTCCACGGCCCCTCGAGCCGTGGGCCGGGCTTTGGGAGCAGGAGGGGCCGCTGCCTGTTGCAGGTGTGCCCGGTGCTGCCCCCGCCCCGCCCGCGCCCCCTTCAGGTTGAGCTTGAGACTCTTGTTTCTCTGCCCGCAGTTCCCTGTGCGCGGCTTCTCCACGAGGCCCCAGGCCATGTGACAGTGGCCCCAGGCCATGTGACAGTGGCCCCAGGGGGAGGCCTCAGGGTCCCCTTGTCCGCTCCCCCACCCCTGCCCCCACCACTCGCTTGGTCCCGTCCAGGCAGACCCGCTCCCTCACACGGGGGCCTGCGCGACAGCCAGCACCTCCTGTTCTCGGGGGCCGATCCGGTCGCTGCCTGCAGCACAGAGCCCCCAGGGGACAGCAGCTCAAACAGGAGGGACATCGTCTCCCTCTCGGGAGGCGAAGCCCAGTGAACGCTGTGCGGGGCCAGTGTGGCAGGCGGCGTGGCCCTCGGTTGGCCTCACTGCGTCAGAGTCTTTAGATACCCCTCGGCGTCTCAGGCGGCTGCCTGAGCTCCGGCTGCCACAGCCACGTCCAGCCAGCGGGGAGGGTGAGGCACAGAGGAAGGCGTGCCTTCCTCGTCTTAGCAGAAGTGCAGCCTCAGGAAGGCTCTACAGTGAGGAAACGGGTTTGAGAGGTGGAAGCACCGGACTTGATACAAGGCCCCAGTGACCCCAGGTCATCCTTGGTGTGAAGCCAGGCTCTGCACTTAAGACGTTACAACCCCCAGCGTGCGCCTCACTTGTTACCTTTTCCTGAGTTCGCCACAGATACAGCCTCTTTCTCCCTTTGCACGAGCTCTGGAAACAGTACATCCGGGACCTATGCAACGGCCTCAAGCCAGACACGTGAGTGGCCTTTCTGCAGCCTTGCCTTTGCGCCTTGTGGTCACTGTCCGCACGGACTGAGCAGCCAGCCGCCCGTGCCGGTGGCTGCGCCGCCCAGCGGGGCCCTGAGCCGCGTCACCAGCGGGACCCTGTTTGCCTCTCAGGCAGCCGCAGACGATCCAGGCCAAGCTCCTGAAGGCGGACCTGCATGGCGCCATCGTTTCAGGTAACCGGGCCGAGAGCGCGGCCGTCAGTGCCCGGCCGTCGCTCGGGCAGCGCAGCAGTGCCTGATGTTAGCCTGTCCCTCGCCTGACGGCGTCCCCAGATCAGTGCTGGGGCGGAGACGACGTGGCCGGCCGGGCCGTGTGCTGCGCACTCGCGGTGGTCGGTGCGCCTTCGCCGCAGGGGCCCGGTGGGCGCACGCCGCCCGGCTCCCAGGGCGGGGCCTCCGTCCAGGGCCCTGCCTCTCGGTGTCAGCTCTGAACTGACGCCCCTCTGGCCGCTCAGGCCGAGAGCCGGGGCGTGTCCCCGTGGTCCCTCTGCCCACCCCGCCGCCAGCCCTCCCACGCGGCTGGCCCCCGAGTCCGAGCCGCTGCCGCCCCCAGCCTGGCTGCTGACACGCGGCTGTGCCCTGAAGGCCCCTCCCAGGTCCTCGGCCCGGTCCGACCACGGCGGCCTGCTCTCGGCTGCCCGGCGCCGGCGGTGTCCCCACCCAGCAAGTCTGTGTTCGCAGACCAACTCCTCATCCAGGTCCCCGCTCAGGCCGCTCCCCCTGAGGTCTGCCATTGCCAGGGGGCCCCCCATTACCCTGACCTTGTTTTCTCTGTACCCTCCCGCAATCAGAGAACACAGTCATCTGGCGGGGAGGGGGTGCCCCTCCCCCGTGAGCACCTGCTGCGTGCAAGCCACGCCAGGTCCGCCGCGCGCCCCACCACGCCCAGACCGACCTGGGGCAGGGCCAGGTGCCCAGGGGGTGTCTGCGGTCGTGCGGGCCGCGGCCCCGGTGAGGGGCCTGCTGCCGGTGGTGGCCGCTCAGCTCAGCCAGCGCCAGGCGGCCCGTGGCAGGAGCCCGCTCTTGGTGGAGCTCAGCAGTCGGGAGACGTCACGGACAGTGTGCATTCAGATCCCGGAGGGGACACGGCCCCGTGCACACGGCCTCCCCGTGGGCCTCTGCTTGGGCCCCGTGGGTCTTGCTACGTGTGGCCTCCTGGCTCCCGAACCCCGGACACCTGTCAGGCCACTGCGGAGGCCAGAGTCCCAAAGGCGGGGCTGGGACCCGGGGCCCCCGGCAGCTTGGTCCCCGCCCTCCAGGGACCACCCCTTCCCCCCACGCCCGGCTCCACAGGGGCCGGGGCTGAGCTGCCTTTTCCTCTTCAGTCACCAAATCCAAGTGCCCGTCCTACGTGGGCGTCACAGGCATCCTGCTCCAGGAAACGAAGCACGTGTTCAAAATCGTCACCAAGGAGGACCGCCTAAAAGGTACCTAGCTGTGGCGGGGGCACCGCCCCTGGTCCTGACGCATGTGTTCAGGGCTCCCAGGCCCCGCAGAGACCGTGCCCACCCCCGGGGCTCGGCCCGGGGGCGCAGCCTAGCAGGGACAGGGAGGGCGCCCGGCAGCGCCCGTGTCTGGAGGGCTGAGTGGCGCCCCCGTGGGCTGCGGGAGGCCGTGCGCACTCGCCCCTCGCCTGCGGGGCCGCGCCCTCGCGCATGGGCGTGAGCAGCACACGGCCCTTGGAGCCCGCAGCCACGCAGGTCTGGTCCCTTAATTTTCGAGCTGGTTCCTCCTGCCGCCTCTATCCATTTCCCTGTCGATTCGTTGGTTCTGGTTTAACCTCAGAAGGTGGCTATAGGCTTCCTGCCAAGTTAAAGCTGCGGGCCCTTCCGAAAGGGACGGGGGAGACCTGCGTGTGGCTCTTCGCGCAGAGGCCCGGGGTGGGAGGCCGGGCCCCGAGGTCCAGTTGCTGCTGAGGCATGGAGGGGCGGGCGGGCAGAGCGCCCTGGGGCCCCAGCCCGTTGCTCGGGACGCCGCGGGGTGGCGCCTGCACGAGCGCGCACTGGCCGCCAGGCTTCCTCCTCGCCCTTCTCTCCTGCTTTTACTCAGTCATCCCCAAGCAAAACTGCGTGTTCTCCGTGGAAACCGACGGCTTCCTCTCCTACATTTATGGGAGCAAGTTCCAGCTCCGGGCCAGCGAGAGGTCTGCGAAGAAGTTCAAAGCGAAGGGCACCATTGACCTGTGAGCAGCGGCCACCGAGGGCAGGAGTGCGGACGCCGAGCCCCCGCTCTCTGTGCAGGACGGGCGCCAGGCCGGCCGGAGACGCCCCTGGCTGGCGGGAGCCGGGCCTGACACGGTCGTCGCCCGCGCAGCAGCGGCCTGTGCGGAGCGAAGTCGGGGGTGGGGCGGGCAGCGATGCGGCCTGGACTGTTACCGCCGCCGGGAGGGAAGAGGCTGCAGGGAACAGCGGCCAGCGCTGCCCGAGGGGCAGGGCGCTGGGTCTTGGTGTCCCTGTTTCTCAGCGTCCTGTGGTGACCACGCTGTGTGTGTGATAATAAAGCGCGTGTGTAGGCCTGGGCTCCGGGCTAGGGCTGTGGTCCCCGCTGCGCGGTCCTCGCTGGGGCGGGGCCGGTGAGCCTGTGCGGGTCGCGCCTTCCGCAGTCCCGGTTCAGTGGCCCTGTGCGTCCGACGCCGCCTGGCCCCCGCTCTCAGACGCGGCCGGCCTGCCCGCCACGCACGCTGGGCGCTTGGGCCTTCTGCCAGCGCTCCCAGCACAGCCACTGGACCCCAGGCTCTCTCACCGTGGGGGCCGTGGCCTGCTCGGACCAGAGCTTAGGCCCGGCTGCTGTCCCCGTACCAGGAGCCCGGGGCTGCCAGGCCCCCCCTCTGTTCTGCAGGCAGCCGAGCTCCTTGTTTGGGGCCAGCGACAGCCCGGCTGGGGGGACCTCCCACCGGCACACAGGGAGGCTCCCTGCCGGAGGGCGTGGGAGGGACGTGGGGCTACGGCTCCATGCCGGTCCCGCACCCAGCATGGGGGTGGGGAGAGCTCTAACCCACGGGCCAGGAGGAGGGATTCTCGGGGACACTCACCTTGTCCTGCAGTGCGGGCCTGGCTGTCGCCTCTCTCCAGCGGGGCCGTGACACTGGACCAGGTTTTCCCGGAGCGGAGGTAGCAGGGGCACGTGACCCACGCCGGTCCTGGCGGCCAGCAGCCCGGGGTGGGGCCCAAGCAGCCTCTGCTCCTCGGAGACCCCAGCTGGTTACTCACTGATGTTGGGGGCTGCGGACTCCAGTGGCGTCTGAAGGCTCTTTGAGCTCGACATCTGGGCAGCGGCTTCAGATGCGGCCTCGGGACAGCGCGGTCTGGGTGCTGGGTGTCACATGGCTTGTCTCTCAGGTTCTGAAGAGTAAACAAGAATATCCCTCAAAATGCCATAAATTAGCAATAAAAAGCCCTCTTTCTGGACAACGGCTTTAGTTCTAATTTAGTTTGCATTTCGTAGCTATAATGCCTAATTAAGACATCTGTTAAATGTCTATAATATTAATTTAATCAGGGGGGTTCTAATAGAACTGAATGGGAATTGTCCATTTAATTAACCTCATGGGCCTTTAATGGATGTCTTAAATAGACGTCATTAACAAGAGGGGTAGACAAATTAAAATTAGAGTCAATAGCACTCCTGGTAATTTCTCCCGAGCTGTGAAGGGCGAACGTCGCTGAGTAGGCAGATGTGGAGGCAGGCTGGGGTGCCGGGGCTGGAGTCCCCGGCGGGCCGGCCACTCTATGTCCTGGTCGGCTTTGCGTGTCCCCCGCGGGCCAGAGCCACCGTCTGACCCTCACGGCTGCTCCGAGTGTCGAGGGGATGAAAACCGGTGCCACTGGCACTGCCCCACGGCTGCCTTCCCCTGTGAGCCGTCCCGGTCCCGTGTGTCCACTCACGTCAGCCAGAGGCCCCCTGGGAGGCCGTGTCTCTCGAGTTCACTGAGTCCTGGCGTCTCCCCTTTCCGCCTGCCTCGTTGTCCCCGCTCCCTGGCTGCGGTCCTCACCCACCCTCTGTGACCCGGGCCCCCGCGCCCCCGTGTGGCCCCACCCCCACGCTGCAGGGCTGGGCTGCTCGCCCTCCGCCAGCCCCGTGCCCCTCAGCCCTGGGCGGCTGCGCTGTTCACGGGAGAGGCCGTGACGTGTGACAGAGGAGGGTCTGTCTCCACGGAGCCGTTCCCCAGGACTGACGGCACCTAGGACGGTGGGGCGGGGGGCAGGGCGGGGGAGGCGTCACAGATGATGGCACCGTGGACCCCGGGAGCCAGCTGAGAGCTCGCAGGACTCGAAACACACTGCGTGTTCTCATGCGTGAGCCCATCGGGGGCGGGGCCCGCAGGCCCTGAGCGTTGACTTGGCCCGGCCCCCCGGCCTTCCCGCAGTGGCCTGAGCGACCTAGCGCTGGCTGCCCGAGGATCGTGGACGTAAAGCAAAGAACCCCGAAGTCCTAAGAAATGGGCGTGTCACTAAATTCGTCATCTTAACGTCTCCACCTCTCAGAGTCTTGGCTGTCTCTGCCCTGGACCTCCAGGGACCAAGAGGCCAGTGATACGGTCACCGGGGCGTGGTTGCCACAGGCCCACCCGGCCCCACCCTGTGAGCTCCCGCACCAGTGGGTGGTGGGGACAGGACTCACGAGGGCCGCAGGGGGCGGCCTGGCGGCAGGGCAGACTCCCCAGGACCGGACCTGACCCTGGGGCCGGCGGCCGAGCCGACCCCCTGCTGGAGGCAGCAGGGGCAGCCCGGCCCGGGGAGAAAACGCAGCAGCCGGAGTCGCCCCGGGAGCAGCGGGCAGGGCAGGGCCGCTGGTGCCCAGGCCCCGCCCCCAGGAGGCCCCTCTCGGGCCCACTCGGCACCTTTGCAGGGTGCAAGCTGGGCCCGGGGCCGGGCGGCAGAAAGCGCCTTCCCCCCGCGACCCCCGCCCCACCCCGCAGCCCCAGGCAGGTAGGTTAAGGCCCCAGTCAAGGCGGTGACGTTTTGGAAGGCCCAGGTCAGGGGCTGAGGGGCAACGTTGCCTGCAGGCTGACCCGCTGCCCCCGCGCTCCTGCACCTCTGGGAGCCAGGGGTGGCCCCACACGGCGGCCAGCGCCGGAAACCTGCGCTTCCTCGCCCCCCCCCCGGGTTTCTCCCTGCCCCTCACTGCGGCTGGGGCTTTCAGGGGAAGACAAAAAATAAAACAAAAAATAAATTAACTAATTACTTGGGAATTCGTTTTTAATTAAGCAGTAAGACTCACTGGGGCCTGGCGGCCACCTCGTAAAGTCACTGCTGGGTGTGGGGTGGGCGGGCGCTGGGTCCAGCCGAGCGCCCCGCATCGGCCAGGGGCGTGGCTTGAGGCCCGCTCCCCGGAGTGACCGCTCAGGCCTGGGCTGCCGCCCATGGCCCATGGCCAGGGAGCCTGCAGGCTGGAGGGAAGCGCAGCGCTTTGCTGCTGGGAGGAGATGAAAACGCCAATTCTGGCTGCCAGGGAGGCCCCAGGCCCGGGCTGCCTGCCCCCCGCCTGCCCCTTCCCTGCTCACATGGGGCACCCGTGGGCGGCCCACCCAGCTGGATGGATGCTGACGTCTTCAAAACTAACCGGCCTCTGTACACAGGGTCGTGTGTCTCACCCAAGAAGCAGGCGGGAACGATGCAAGGGCGTCTCCCTCCGGGAGGCCCCTCCTCTCCTGCGGGAGGCCCAGGCCGGCCTCACTCCCGGGGCAGCGCGGGGCGTCTGGCAGACGCTGCAGTGACCAGCAGTCTTCCCGTCTTCGGGAGCCATCTGTTCTCGATAAGGGGGGAGCGGTGACCTGCCCTGGGCTGTCCTGGCCCCTCATCGTAGACGAAGGAAGATAAAACCAGTTCCCAGAGAGGTCGAGTGGGCCCACGTGGTACCAAGCGGAGCTGGGGAAGATGAGGAAGAAAAGAACCGGCAGGTGCGTGGCCCAGTCCTCCCAGGGCCCTGGCTGTGGCCCCAGGCCCCTGCGGGGTACAGTCCCCAGCCTCCACGTGGGCCAGACCCCCTCAGGGCGCAAGGCAGCTGGTGCCATGAGAGGCTCGCGCCCACAGGCGGGTGCAGAGGGGCACCCAGGTCCGGGGGGGCAGCTCAGTACCGACTTCAATAGGAAATAGGAACAGTCTGGGCTCTAGGGACTAGGCTCGTTTCCCACCGTGCTTGGAGGGAGTCCAAGTATCGCGCGGAGCTGTCCCACCCTGTTCACCGACCCAGCAGCGGTCGGCTGTTGGCTGGATCCCGCTGGCCTTCCAGGCTGCAGGAAATTTGAGCAAGGGGACATGCATCTTCTGTACCTTCTCCGGCTGGGATCCCGGCCAGGAAAACCGGAGCCGGGGGCGGGGGACCTGTCCACCCCCGCGGGCGCCTGGAGGCACTGGGATGCAGAAGGCAGCCCTCGCGTCCGCATCTCTGGCAGGCATGTCTCCAGTCGGAAGTGTCACTGAGCTGTCCCGCCAGGGTTTGGTCACACGATGGTTCCTTCTCCCTAACAGCTTTGGGGTGGAGGCCGGGAGTCAGGGCAGCCATAGGAACTAGGCTCACGTCTGGAATCTCTCGTCTCTTCGCTCCGGCTGCCCCTCGGGAAAGATCCTGGGTGGGCTCTTGCACCTGTGAGGCTGTTCCCATTCCTAGACCGGCTCTTTGTTGGGTCTGGTTTTCCTAGCTTTGTTTCACTTTATTTGGCATGAGAAGTTTTTGTGTTTCATTATTGTTGTCATTGTAAATCTTTGTGTAGACCCATCTTTACTTCTCAGGGTTCCGCTTGCCGGGTTTGGGGGAGGGGAAGACTGACTTACCTGTGAAATCCCCGCCCGTGGCTTTGAGAAAGGGCGCGGGCAGCTGACCCCTGGCCTCCGGGCTCGGAAGTCGAAGTCGCTCAGGAGTCCCCGGGGGACATCCAGGGCCCTTCCCGAACACACGGGGCGGGGCGTTCTGGACGATGCAGAATTGTCTGGCTTTTCCCCTCTCTCCCATCACAATAGGCACCTCGGTGTGATTTTCTTTAGCTCCCGGATGGCCACCCAGCCCCAGCCCCCAACTGCCGGCCGCTGATGGGGCGCGGGGGCTATGGTCCTTGAAGAGCCCTTGAGCTCTGATTTTTTCACTTTTACTGTTTACTGAGGCATAACGTACGTACAATACAGCACCCAGATCCCATGGAAAGGGGACAGTTTTGTACACATGCACACAGGCGGCATCATTGCCCACGTCAAGAGAAGCAGGGCGCGTGAGACATGGGGCGCGCTCCAGGGCTCCCTGCTGCCCCTCCGCTCCTGCCGGGACCCGCCCTGGGAAGCCCTGTTCTGCTTCCACCGCTGCTTGTTCGTTTTGTCTTTTTTGAACCTCAGCTAATACGGCGTGTTCCTCCCGGGTCTGGCTTCTCTCCTGAGCGTTCCCTCCCTGACTTCCATTCCTGTGAGATGCATGTCGTTTTGTGCAGCAGCATCGTCTTGTCCCAAGGAGCATCCTCTCGTACGGATGCATCTCTGTGTGTTACCCGCTGCACTGTTGACAGACGTGTGCGTGAGCCACCGAGGATCATGCACGTTTGTGATGGTGGCCACGTGCCGTCATGGCTCCTGCCTGACACCTCGAGGGGGGATGTCCAGGCTCGGGGCAGCAGAGGCCAAGCCCCGGTGGGCTCTGCCAGCGGTTCCCACAGCGACGGGCCGTGGCAGCGCTGACTCCCTCCACCTGGAGCATTGTTCAAAGGCCACTGTTTCTGTCTCCATTGTTCTCCTTTTCCCCTTTGGCCCAGTCAGAGGCCCGTGGGGGAACCCGGGACAGAGAGCAGGCCGCACAGTGCCCACAAACATGCAGAGGACGCACAGACTTGGAATGACAAACATGGGCAGACACACAGGCGGACAGGAGTCAATATTGACACACCTAGGAGGCGGGGCGTGGGACGGCCGTGAGGTGGAGAGCGGACGGGGTCCCGTGGAGGCCCAGCGCGCCGGCCCTCCAGGACTCGAGACGCCCGACAGAGCTGTCAAAATCATGGTCTCCAAACTCCTCAGGGTCGCCCCCTTTAAAGCTGTCTTCGTGGCCGTTGGAAGAGAAACCTTCCCGGGGGCCCCGTTGCCGTAGCTGGGAGACTCCGTGTCTCCGGCGCGCCCCTGAGGACAGAAAGCAGCACAGAGAACCATAGGAATCGAACCAATCTGGAATCAAGGTCAGGACCTGCTCCTTGTAAACAGAAAGAATGACTCGGTTTCCTTTTCTTTATTTGTTTCTCCCAACTTTCTTTTTGTTTTCCAACGCCTGGCCATGCTGAGCCCTGATTCACACAGTCTGGGAGGCAGCTTTTCCTCCTGAACCCGAGGATGAGAAAAGCCTCAGGGAGACCTCACTTTTTCCATAGCCTGTGGCTTGGCTGATTCAACTCCTGCCTGTCCCTGAGTCACGAGTTTTTCCTCTTCTCGGAGGAGCGTGGCCCTGTGCCCAGGGCTCCTCCAACCACGCGGGCCCCGGTGGGGACGCGAGGCAGCTGCATGGTCGAGCTTGGCAGCCGCCAGGGGCTTTCCAGAGCTCCGTCCAAGACGGCAGAGCTGGAAGGAAGGAGAGAAGAAGAGTCTGAGGCCTGAGTGGGCCCCGGGTTGGCAGCGAGACGAGGCTAGTTGGGGTCTCTCAGGGCCAACAACCTCTCTGGTTTCAGAATCGTGGAAAGGCCTCCTTTTCCTGTTTTCCTGGACCCCTGCCCAGAGCCAGGTGCAGAGGCGGGTGCCGGGGGCCCATGCAGACTGCAGGGCTTTCCAGCCCCCTGGCCGGGGCCGCTCACCCAAGGCGGGACCCCCTTCCCCGAGGAGCCCCCTCTTATGGGGGTGGGGCTCGGGTCCTGAGGCCCTCGTGGAACATGATCCTGAAAGCTCAGCTCCGAGGCCCCTCCAGCCCTCTGCAGACAGAAAGATGTGTCCCCTTGGGGGGGCACTTCCCAGGGTCCCAATGTCCCAACTGACCTCCATGGTCATAGTGCAGCCTCTGGGCCCGTGGGCCACGCAGAGGGGTCTCCTCCCCGGGACGGTGCAGAGGCCTGGCTCCCAGCAGGACTCGCGAACGCGCACGTTTCTCCAACGGCAGGGGCATGAGTGGGAAACTGAGCAAGGAGGACAGGACGGAGAGCGGTGGGGACCGCGGCGAATGGAGGGCGCGCGCCTTGTCTGCAGGGCACAGCTGCGCCTGGCGATCCACAGGAGATGGAAGTCCTGATTTAAAAAAAAAAAATGTATTTATTTATTTTTAGAGCCGGGGGGGGGGGGAAGGAAGAGAGGGAGAAAGAGAGGGAGAGAAACACCCACGTGCAGTTGCCTCTCGCGCGCCCTGCACTGGGGACCTGGCCCGCACCCCAGGCCTGGGTCTGGACTGGGAATCGAACCCGCAGCCCTTTGGTGTGCAGGCCGCCACTCAGTCCTCTGAGCCAGGCCAGGGCTAGAAGTCGCGATTTCTCTGTGAGCCCCCTCACTATGAAATCTTGGCAACGCATTTTATGAAGAAAGGTTTAAATGCCATTGTGAGGCCGTGGCATCGTTGGCTGCTCCGAAAACACTGTCGGTCCATGGCAATGACGGTCACAGACCTGAGGACCGTGGGAGTCCGGAGACGTCACTGCTGGGGTGTGCGCCTCCAAGACCCCTGGGCGGCAGGGCGGCCCCACTTGCATCCCCTCCACCAGCCGCGCTTCCCTCTGCGCCTCTCTCCCGTCTCTTCACGCGCCCCTGCCCCTGCCCTTCTCAGCCCGTGTCCCGGCCCCACTCCACGGGGACAGGCGCGCCCCGCCCCCGGGGCCCCTCGCAGCCTCTGCCCACACCCCCCAGGAGAGCGGGGCGCAGCTCGCACCTCCCAGGGCCTGCACCCCGGCGCCGGCTCCTTCTCCTGCGCCATCTCCTGCCTGGCTGCTGGCCCAGCGGCTCTGACGTGGCCGAGCCAGCCCGGTCTCGTCCTCGCAGTTCCCCGGAGTCTGCCCCGCGTGGCCGCGCAAACCGCACCTGTTCAGGGCCTAAGAGCCCGGCGCAGGTCTCAGCCCCGCAGGCGAACGATGGGCCGGGTGACCACAGCCCAGCCCGCGCCTCCCAGCCCAGTCAGGACCAAGGTGCCTTCGGGGAGGGAGCGATGCGTCACAAAATAACGGCACAGGGCGAGGTGGTGGGGCAGGCAGGGGCTCCCTGAGGAGTGACAGTATGAGCTGAGCGCCAGGTGCCACAAATGCAGCCATGGGAAGATCTGGGGACAGGAAGGGCAGCCCCCGAGGCGGGCGCGACGTCAAGGTGGAGAGGAACCGGAGAGACCCGCGCCAGCGCTGCCGGGGGAAGGCCCGCGGGAGGCTGGCAGGCCGCGCCGAGTGACGAGCCTCGGCGCGGCCCTCCGGCGTCCCCGCGCGCGGGACGGGAGGTGCACGACCCGCTGCCTTGCTGGCGCCGGCGAGGGGCGCCCCGTGTCCAGTAAACCCGGCTCTCCTCCTGCGTGTGTTTGACAGTTGCCACTATAAAAAGTTTAAAATAGAGAAAACGCTGCTGGGTTTTATTATGATTAATAACCTTCGGGTTGCTGAGGGGCGGGGGGCCCGCCGCCCGGCCGGGCCCGGACCACCTCCGCGTGCGGTGACGGCGGCCAGGGTGCCGGGTGAGGCGGCGCCGGGGGAACCGGCTGAGGCCGTTCGGCGTGAGGAGCTTGCGCGGGAGCCGACCGCCGCGCGCGCACGGCCCACGCGCTCAGGCTCGGGCCGCTCCGCCCGCGCGCATTTCTCGGGCACTCGGGCTCGCAGCGCTGGGCGTCCTGGCCCCGCCCCCGCCCGCGCGCCAGGGCCCCGATTGGCGGAGCCGCCGCGAGGGGCGTGTCGGGGAGAGTTGGAACGCGGCGGGGGCGGGGCGGGGCTGGGCAGTGGCCGCGAGCGGGACGCGGGACACGGTGCGGGAGTGCGGGAGCGCGGGGCGCGGGGCCGAGGAGGTAAGGGACTCCCGGGCCGGGCTGGGACGCGCGGGCAGGCGGGCCTTCCGCCGGCCGCCCCCACTGCCCGCGCCGCGGGGCGCGGGAGGGACAGGCGCGCAGCCAGCGCCGGTCGGACTCTTGACCCGGAGCGGAGGCGCCGGGCAGGGCGCTCGCTGCCGGCTGGTGGGGCTGCAGAGGCTCCGGGAAGAGCGGGTGACCGCAGGTGAGCGGGCACCGGGTCGAGGCAGGGTCCCTGGGACGCGCAACGTGTGAGCGGAGGAGGGTCGCAGGCGCCCGTGGGCTGCACGGATCTCCTCGCACCCGCCGTCCGGGGAAGGTTCGGCGAGGCCTGGCTTCCCCCCGCCGTCGGGGCCTCGCTCCTGAGTCCCCGTCCGTGGCGGCTGGGGCCGTGGGCAGGGACAGCGGCCCCCGGGAGCGCAGAGGAGCAGCGCGGCGGGGCGGGGCGGGGCGGGGGGGTGGGGGAGGGCAGCGCTTTGCCGGCGGCCTCGGCCCCGCTGGCTTCCCAGGTGGGAGCCGCCTGGTCCCTGAAGCCGCAGAGTTGGGGACTTCGGGTGGGAGTTGTCAAAGGAAGCAGGGCTGCTCCCCCTCTCCCCACGTCCCCGTAGCGCAGAACAAGTAGTCGAGGCAGACCCAGAACGGCTGTGCCTGCCCAGCCGGGAATCCCTGGAAAACCCTTCCCTTTCCCGCCCCGCGAGCCCGGCAAGAGCCAGCTGTGCGGGGGAGAGCGGCCCGCAGCCCCTCGCAGGTGGGGAAAGGGGGTCCCGGGTCCGAAAGCTTGATCTGCGCAAGCTGTTGTCTGCGCACAGGAAAGAGGCGGGAGCGGGGAGGGAGGGAGGGGGGTCGCTGCTGGGCTCAGTGTTCCTGGTGCATCATTTCCACTCGGGTCTGCACGGGCCAAGCGGTGACGGACTGCGGCCTGTGTCCCCCCACACGTCAGCCCTGGGGCTGCCAAGGCAGGCAGGCAGCGCAGCTGAGCTAAGGGGCCTGCCCAGGCGGCCTCAGGGGGAGCAGGCAGACATGAGGCATTTGCAGAGGGGCCTGCGTCTGGCCTTCGGGTTCGGCCTGTGGTCGAGGGCGGCCTTCAGCCGCTCTCGGCGGCCGGGCCACGCCGCGGGCCTTGGGCAGTGGCTGTGAGGATGGAAGGGCGCCTTCCGCGAGGGGGCTTTTGTGAGGATTAAGTGAGATAATACTCGTCATGGGCTTGCCTGGTGAGCTACAAGCGCTCCGTGGGTGGCGACCCCGGTCTGTTTTCCTTATTCCAGCTCTTTTCACAGGGGGGGCCTTCGGGGGTGCGCAGGGCTGGGCACGGCTGAGACGCTGAGAGGCAGGCGCTCCGCGGGCACAGGGCCCTTGGATGGTGCCCCCCACTCGTCCCCCCTCCCCGGGCACTTGGAGAAAAACTCAAATCCTCGCCCTGGTTGGGGGCCTGCTCCGCCGGCCCCTGCCAGCCCGTCTGGCCCAACCCCTTCCCCTCCTTCCTTCGCGGCCTCTGAGGGTCGCCCCTGAGCTGCGCCCTAGGCCCAGAACATTCTTCCGGGGCCTTTGCAGGGCTGCCTCCTGCACAGCGCCCAGGTTGGTGCCAGGTCACTTCGCCGCCAGGTCTCGCCTGACCACCACCCCCGTTACCTGCTCGGTTCATTTTCTGGTCCCCTCCTCCTGCCAGGAAGCCTGTTACTGATGGACCTCTCCCTCCGTCCCTGTTGGAGCTCGGGACGGAGCACAATAAGACGGTGCCTGGCAGGGGTGGGACGCGGGCAGGCACGGGGGCAGCGAGGGCCCGGCTGGGGCGCGAGGGGCTGGTGAAGGACCCGCCGGCCCCAGCCAGGAGCCAGTCCCGAGTCCCTCCCTCCATGACCAGCCCGGGACTGCCGTCCCAGACAAGCAGTGTCCCCAGCTGTAACTGACGGATGGATGGGGCTGGGCCACCTTCGGCCCCTGCTTCCCAGGCTCCCAGGACGGGCCCCAGACCAGTCTCTGGAATCCGTATGGGAGGGGAGGGGAGGGGGAGAGGGACGGAGAGGGGAGGAGGGGAGGGGGAGAGCGCCCGTCAGCCCACGGTGTCAGGGTGTCCCTGGAGCAGGAGCAACCCTGATAGCACGAGGCCACCCTAGGCTTTGCCAGCCAGCCCCCGCCGCACACGGCCGTGTCCCACCAAGCTGCGTTGACAAAACCCCGCAGTGAGTCAGGCCGGCTGTGGGTCACATGTGACCCCGCAGCTGCCGTGCACAGAATCCAGTGACACCCCGGGGGTGTAGCTCCCAGGCCCCGCTCGGAGGACGGGGTCACACGGGTTGGGGGGCCCAGCCCCGGGGGGCAGCCGCACTTCCAAACCCTGCCAGCCAGGCAGGTCTGTCCGCGTCCCTGCTCCCAGACACTGACCCTCGGGCGTGCCCACCCTCGGTCAGCGCCTGGGGACCACACTAGGGTCCCAGACTGGCCCCAAGAGTCGCGGGGACGGCTCAGCTCTGTCCCGCTCTGAGCTGAGGGAGGGAGGCTCGCTTCTCTGGTGAGAACAGTGAGAGGAGGCTTCCCAGGCGCTGTGTGGGGAAGGGGGGCGGGGCTGTGCTTACTGAGAAAAACCTCAGGGTCAAGTCAAACCAGGGTGTGAAGCTATGGCCCTGGGGGTGAGGGCGGCGGATGTCAGGGGAGCCACCGAGAGGATGTTGCCGCCCGGCCCCTCCCCCAGCCTGGGACCCACTGCCGGCCCACGGGGCAGAGGGGCGCAGACCCCCGGAGGCCCCCAGGCAGGGCGTGGGGGCCGCTGGGAGCCCAGGCCTCTTTCTTCACCAACAGGTAGCCCCCCCCCTTCCTGGGCCATGTTTTGCCACCAGTAGCCGCACCTGGGCCACCAAGGCCTGGAGGGAGTCGGCACACCCCTGGCCGGGGACAGAGTGGCATGGGGGTCTTGTGCAGGGCGCCCTGGTGCCCCCTGTGGGGATGGGGCAGTGTTGAAGGCCGTCCCAGCCCACAGGCTCTCCTGCCCAAGCAGGCACCTCGCTCCTCGGGGCCCACACCGCCCAGCCCTCTGCTCACGGGTGCGCCGGGCGGGTGCACCGGGCAGGTGCGCCGGGCAGGCCGGCCTCCGGAGCTCGCCGGCCCGAGGGGCTCAGCCCCGCGCCCGCCCGCCGAAGCTGCAGGGCTGGGGACACAGGTGGCTGTCCTCCTCAGGGCGCCTGGCACGGGGGGTGGCCCAGGCCCCGCCGGTGACCATGCCAGGCCTGCAGAGTGCCCTGCCCAGTGGAGCTCAGAGCTCTCGACCCAGACATTGTCCTGTGAGGAGTGTCTGTTTGAGAATCTTCCATTTAGAAGGAAGAAAGACCAGGAAGCCCGCGTCTCCACCTCCCGGAACCAGCTGGTTGGGTGCCGTCCCGTTTGATGCTGCTGCCATTTATAAATAAAAGCCCTGTTTGCGCGCCCCCCCCCCCCCCCCGGCTCTATGCAGGCCTCCTCCCCAGGCCACCTTCTCCTGGCTTTGCTCACCTTTTTTGTTTTAACCATCTGAGCCACTTTGAAGCGTGCAGTCCGGTAGCGCTGGTTTCCTGTTGCTGTGAAACAGACCTCCAGAGTTCCCCCCGTTCCTGAGCCGCGGGCCTTCCTCCCCTCCCCTGCCACTGCCGCCCCAGAAAACCAGCTTCTGCCCTCTGCTCCTGGGAATCTGACTGCTCCAGAGGCCTCATATTGGCGGGATCCACAGTATTTCTCTCTCTCTGACGGCTCACTTCATGGAGCGGAGTACCTTCAGGCCCGCCCACGCTGCAGCTGAGTCAGGATTCCCTTCCTTTTGGTGGCTGAGTAATATTCCGCCATGTGGATGGGCCACGCTGTGCTCCCCATTCCCCCGTGGACGGGCCCTTGGGTTTCCTCCACCCCTCGGCTGTTTGGCGACGCTGCTCTCACGTGTGCATTTTGAGGCCCACTTTTACTTCTTTGGAAGGGGATGGCTGGAGCATTGGGCAGTTCTTTCTTTCTTTCTTTTCCTTTCTTTCTTTCTTTTTGAGGAAACTCCATGCTGTTTTCCACAGTGGCTGCAGCCAGTTAATTTCCACCAACAGTGCACGAGGGTCCGCGCTGCCCCGCGTCCCTGCCATCACTTGTCATTTCCTGCTTTGATTAGTAGCAGCCCTCACAGGTGTGAAGTTCTGTCCATCTTTATTTATAGATAGAGTTGTCCAACACTTTTTTATTTTTTAAAAAAGATTTTATTTATTTTTAGAGAGGGGAAGGGAGGGAGAAATATTCACGTGTGGTTGCCTCTTGTGCGCCCCGTGCTGGGGACCTGGCCCGCAACCCAGGCCTGTTCGCTGACGGGGAATCGAACCGGCGGCCCTTTGGTTTGCAGGCAGGTGCTCTGTCCACTGAGCCGCACCAGCCAGGGCTAGAGGTGTCCGACGCTTCTTAAATGTTGACATTTCCGCGTGCGTGGCGCGCCGTACTCCGTTCCCTGGGTTGCTTTTCCTCTTGGCATCCGGCGCCCTGACAGTCCTCGCTCACCTACGTGGGGGGGGGCGCGGTGGTGGCAGCGGGCGTGACTCACTACGTGAGTGGACCCACTGTGTCACTCTCTGCCCACCCCAGGGCCCCAGCACCCAGCCCAGGGGCCCCGGGGTGGCCCTGGAATGTTGCCAGGCCGTCCACAGCAGGGACCAGTGACCGGGGCTGGCAGCACGCAGCCAGGCGCAGCAACCTAAAAATAGCAGTTGTTACGTAAGGCGGCATGGGCGGCACTTCCCAGGAAGCCTTGTGGTCTGCGGGAGGCGAGGGGTGCGTGGCGGGCTGAGCCCCGCTTGTGCAATGCACCCAGCCCCCACGGCCCGCTCCCCACAGGTGGCCTGGCTGACGAACCCCAGAGCGCTGACCCAGAAACACCGCGCGTGAGACCGGAGTGCTGCGGGCCTGCGCGCGTGCCCCGGCGGTGGCGGTAGCGGCGGCGGCTCTCACCTACTTCCTCTGACAGGTAAGAGCTGAGTCACACGTGGCGGGCGCTGGGGTGCTTCAGAGAGGCTCCCACGAGCCACTTCCGAAGCCCGTGCTGGGTGCTCAACCCCCTTCCAAGGACCAAGGCCCCCGCAGAGAACGCTGCCTGCCTGGTGGTGAGATCTGAGGGAGGGAGAGCAAACAGGCAAGTCAGGTGGGCCGACGAGGGACTACCTGTGACAGTAAACCAAAATGGGGCGACGTCCCGGAGGAGGGGTCCGCAAACTCTTCTGCGAAGGGCCAGGCAGAAAACACCTCGGGGGGCTCAGCGGCCCCGCGGCCTCTGCCACCGCCCCTGGCTCTGCACCGCAGCAGGAGAGCGTCCGTGGCCCATTGCACGGGAACGCGCGGCTGTGTCCCAATAAAACTTTATTTACAAAAGCAGGCTGTGGGCCAGGTCCGCCTTCCAGCCATCGTTTGCGGATCGGCCCTGGGGTGGGGGGCAGGCTGCCTGAGCAGGGCCTTCTGGCCCTTTCTGAGAGGGGCGTGAACCCTGAGCCAAGCCACAGGAGGGAGGGCGCAGCAGGGTGGCGCCGGGCTGTGGGTCCCACATGGAGGCCGTGCCAGGACGTCGGCGGACTTGGGCTGGATGTGGGACGGCTTGTAGCGCTTGCCTGGGCAGAGGAAGACGTTGGGGCCCAGGGAAGAGGAGAGTCCAGGGCGAGTCCTAGACTTGGGGCGCAGACAAACTGGGGGGATGGTAGTTCCAGTCACGGAGAAGAGCCGCCAGACGTGCTGGGAGGAGGTGCGTCCGGTGAGCAGGCAGGGGAGCACGCGGGCAGGTGAGGCTCCTCAGAGCCGCATCGGGAGTGTGTGTGGGCGGGGCAGGTGGCCACAGGAGGTCCAGGGCCACCAATGCCTCGTGCGTGGCTGCGGAGGACAGCCTGGGTCTCACCCTTGGGGGCAAAGGCAGCCCGGTCTCCTGGGGTGCAAGACCCGGGCCCCCGACTTACAAGCGGAGCCTGAGTTTCCCTCCCACCCAGGGGTTCTCCCTGCTGGGCCCACAAAGGCACCTCTGTGAGGTGTGCTGTGCGCAACATGGAGGAAGCTGTTGGCACACAGCACCTGAGGTGACAGCGGTGGCCACTAGGCTGAGGGCTCAGCGAGGGCTGCGGGGTCTGGGATGCTGTGGCTTGGGAGATGGTGCGGATGCCCTGTTGTCTGGTGCGTCCACCTGGGGCAGGCCACCATGCGCTGGGAGCCCCTGGTGGGAGCTGGGGCTCAGCATCCTTGTCCCTTGGGTGGAGAGCGTTTGGGGGCGTTCTACCCCGTCTTCCAAGGCTCCCCAGGGGGTGGATGTTCCCGCTAACCCACAGCGGCGTTGTGTGCTTGCACATTTTCATCGCTGCCTTCTGCTCCCTGGCTGGCCCCACGCATCCCTCTCCCTGGGGACACACCTGCGTCCCAGGCACTCCTTGTCTGAGGGTCGGAGTGGGGTACAGGACAGGGGCAGCGGCGTGGTCCCGCCCCCGCACCACGCCCACGCCTGCGTGCGCCCCTCCCCTGCAGCCGCCGGAGAAGATGGTGGAGCACCTGGCCAACACCGAGATCAACAGCCAGCGCATCGCCGAAGTGGAGAGCTGCTTCGGGGCGTCGGGGCAGCCGCTGGCGCTGCCGGGCCGCGTGCTGCTGGGCGAGGGCGTGCTGACCAAGGAGTGCCGCAAGAAGGCCAAGCCCCGCATCTTCTTCCTGTTCAGCGACATCCTGGTCTACGGCAGCATCGTGCTCAGCAAGCGCAAGTACCGCAGCCAGCACATCATCCCGCTGGAGGAGGTGACGCTGGAGCCGCTGCCGGAGACCCTGCAGGCCAAGAACCGCTGGATGATCAGGACCGCCAAGAAGTCCTTCGTGGTGTCGGCCGCCTCGGCCACGGAGCGCCAGGAGTGGATCAGCCACATCGAGGAGTGCGTGCGGCGGCAGCTGCTGGCCACGGGCCGGCCGCCCAGCACGGAGCACGCGGCGCCCTGGATCCCCGACAAGGCCACCGACATCTGCATGCGCTGCACGCAGACGCGCTTCTCGGCGCTCACGCGGCGCCACCACTGCCGCCAGTGCGGCTTCGTGGTCTGCGCCGAGTGCTCCCGCGCGCGCTTCCTGCTGCCGCGCCTGTCCCCCAAGCCCCTGCGCGTCTGCAGCCTCTGCTACCGCCAGCTGGCCGCCCAGAAGCGCAGGGAGGAAGAGGAGGAGGAGGGCGAGGGCCAGGGTGCGGGGTCCCCGCCCAGCGCCGGCTGCGGAGCGTCCAGCGGCGACGACGAGGACTCGGACGAGGACCGGGAGGGCAGCGGGGATGGCGACTGGCCCAGCCGCGTGAGGTTCTACGACTCGGGCGTCTCCTGGTCCTCCTTCCACAGCTGACCCCGGCGGCAGGCCAAGGGCCGGCTCGCTGCTCACTGCCCTGTCACACAGCCTCGGGGTGCGGAGTCCCCCAGCTGCCGGGCGCCCCGCCCCCAGGACCTGACCCCCCGCCGGCGGGGGGGGGGCGGGGGCGGGAGGCAGTGGGAGTGGCTCTTTTCTGGTTATTGGCATCTGTCCTTTCCACTGCCGGTAATTGTCTTTCCCTTTAGCAAGCCCGAATCACATAGGCCCCCTGGGAACGAAGGCCTTAGCTAACCCTGTGAGCTGGAGCTCCGAGAGTGAGCACCAGCCAGGCGCCTTCAGGGACCAGCGGGAGGACAGGACCAACGGGAGGGCCTCTCATCTCGGAGGCCTTGACCCCAGACAAGGGCACCGCCCGGGGATGGTGTGGCCCCTGGGAGGCCTTCAGGAGCCCCAGGCTCGGTCCCCGCCTCACCAATGCCCACCTGGCCAGTCAGCTGTGCCCGTGGGCTCACCCAGAGCCAGCCACAGACCAGCACGCCGTGGGCGCCCGCAGGTGGGGACTGCAGCCTGCCAAGGCCCCGCGCCCTGCCTCGCCTCTTCCCGGGTGTCCAGAGGGCTGACGCCTCTCTCAGGACGCCCCCCTCCCGCCCTGGGCAGGGAAAGCAGCGTTTTCTGTTAGGACTCTCACTTCAGGTACCAGAAGCCTCACCCAGACTGGCTTAATAATAAAAAGAAAGTTCGCTGACTGGTGTGGCTGGAAAGCACAGGGTTCCTCAGACGCCACTTGCGCGGAAGCTGATGCCACGCTGCGGCAGGTGTCAGCGACTGTCCGCCAGCCTGGCGTTGCCGGAACCCAGTGGCACGCGGGGCGCAGGTGCGCGCGCCCCGTCACGACCCCGACCCCGGCACCTGCTAACTCGTTGAGTTGGTGGAGGGCGAGTAAAGGAAGCGCGGAGCTGTGCCCGGCCGCCCCAGGGGTTGGCGCCCCTGAGTGCGAGGGAGGGGTGGGGGGCCGTGCAGGAGTGTGTGTTGGGCCAGAGCTGGAAGCTGGCCCCGCCCGGGCCTGGCCAGAGTCGTGGGCCCTCCAGGACAGCCTCCAGCGCGCGCCGCGGCCTTCGCCCATCCCCTGGCCGGCCCTGGCCGGAGCCCGCTGTGGCAGAACAGGGGCCGCAGCCAGCCAGCAGGAGTGACTTGGGGTCGGGCCTGGTTCCCGGGGCAGCAAGGCCAGGCTCCAGCCTGCTGGTGGCGGGGAGCCATCCCCGTGGGGCCGGGGGTGGGGGGCGCGGGCGAAGAGCCAGGCCCTCAGGCCTGCCTGAGGCCCTGGGCACAGGGGCCAGGCGCCCGGGAGTGACCGGCTTGTTTACCAGCCTTGGCCTCCCTGGGCCACACAGACTGGTCTGGGCTGGCTCTGCTGGGCAGAGGGCTCCGGGCGGGACAGGTCACGGGGCGAGGGGCCGCTTCCTCAAGAGAGGCCAGGCGGTCCCTCCCTTTGCCCCAGGGATGGTGCTGGGACAACGGGTGCCCAGCCCCGGCCCCTGACCTCCTGGTCACAGCCTCCTCCCCAGACCGCCCGTGCCTGGTGCAGGGCAGTGTGGGGCGGCCCGCAGCCAGCCCCGGGCACTGCCAGCCTTCCCTGCAGGTGCCTGCCCAGGGGCGCTGAGCACAGGACCCAGCGGGCAGGCAGGCTGCCCCATCCTCCCACCCTGGGGACCCCAAGACCTGCTCCCCTCGTCCCCACCGGGGCTGCTGCTTCCCGAGGCCCCCAGGTGTCAGGGAAGGACCAAGGGGCCGAGGGGCCGAGCTTGCTGAATGCCGTGCCAGGAGCCGGGGACACAGGTGTGAGGGAGACCCAAGCGGCCCTAGCTCCGCAGGAGCAGACAGCGTAGCGGGAGATGGGCGGGCACGGAGCGCCGGCGCCGGTTCTGGTCCGTGCGGCGGTGGGGGTGCTGAGGGTGACGTGGGGGGGCTATGCTCTGCAGGGAGGGGCCTTCCAGGCAGAGCAGCAGCGAGTGCTCAGGCCCTGGGAGTGGAGCCCATGTGTTCGGCTCAGCCGCGCGGCGGCACAGGGGACCGGCAGGGCACCTTCCGCACGGTGCCCTTGGCCCCTGCTGGGCTGTGTGCGGGGGGCTGAGGCGGGGAGCCTCCGGGCCTCGCTGTCCTTGGCTGCTCGCCGGGGCTGCCTTGGCTCTTCTGGGAAACGTCCCGGGATGGCAGAGGTGCGCCAGGAAGCGGGATAAGCGCCAGGGACTGGGCACGTGCCCTGGGAGGAACGAGGGCCCCAGTGGACAGAGGAAAGCTGGGGCCAGGAAGGGGAGGCGCTGCCGGGCCCCGACTCCTCCCGCCCTGCAGGGGCCGCAGCGGCAGCTCGGCTCAAGGGTCAGGCCAGGTCCTGCCCCCCCCCGCACTCCCCCACGGGCCACCCCGCAGAAGCATCTCTCTGAAGCTGGCCTCTGTCTCCTGCTGGCTCCGCCATCTCGAGGAGGAGCCCGGCTGGTTCTGGAACGTTCCCGTGCTGACCACAGAAAGGCCAGCTGGGAGGGAGAGCGCAGGCCGGGCACACGGAGCCAGACAATTCTGGGCAATAACAAGGGGAAATTTCAACCCCTGGAGCGGCCACTTCGGGGTCCTGCCAGAAGCGCCCGGCCGTTGGCGCTGGCAATGACACAAACACAAGGACAACATCGGGGGGACCTGTCACCTGCCAATGAGCTCGTACAAATGAGCACCGACGGTCGAACCCGGCACAGGCAGGGCTGTGGGAGAGCAATGTGCACACACACGCATGCACATGCATATACATGTGCACATACACACACAGACACGCACGCCCCGCTGAAGATGGACTTTCGGGAGGTTGATTTAAAGGAAAAAAGTCCTAGGAACCATAAAGTTGTATATTCTTTCCAGCCAACAAATTCCACTTCAGGAAACCTTGCAGTAAAGCAATTCCCACGGAGAAAAGATGAAGGCGTCCCCGGCCCAGGTGCGCACGACGACAGGACAAGGGAGGCGGGCCTGGCGCGGGCGGCAGGGCCACGGCGCGGACGGGTGGGCACCACGGCAGTGAGGGGCTCTGCGGTGCTGCGGGGACGGCCGCCTTCTGGGGGCGGATCCGGCCCGGGACGCCTAAGAGCTGCGCTGCACCGCGCCCTGACCAGCGCTGCAGGACCACGCCCTCCTTGCGTCGGAGGGGGTGTGGCTGTCGACCCCCCCCCTACACCCCTGCGGCCGTCAGTAGGGGGCGTGTACGAGCAGCACTCGCTGGTGTCGCATTACACGCACACCACAACCACACTCACACTGCTGACGCAGGGGGTGGGTTTTCTTGGTCACCAGGCCATTCTCTGAGATGCCCCCGGCTGTCCTACAAACCCGCCCCATTCTGACACTGCTTGCTGTGCACACAGGCCCGGGGTGCGGGGGCGGGGGGGGGGCGGGCTCCATCCCACCAGACTGGCGCCCCCACCCCCCAGCTTCGGATGCCAACGGCAAGTCCCTGCTGGCACCTGGACTCCTGCTGGGCAGCTATAAACCAACGGGGGTTCCTGCGGGCCGCCCGGCATTTGCTCGCTTGCTGGGACAGACAGCTCAGGGGACTCTGGGAGCACGTTTACAAGCTTATGATCAAGTACAGAACAGGGCAGGGACGGACATTCCGAGGGAGAGAGCCACCCGGCGAGGGGGGGGGCAGGGGGCTTCCGCGCCCTCTGCAGAGGCCCTCCGCACCCCGTGCTTGCGACAGCTTTATGGGCCTGATAATGGAGACAATAAATAAAACAAGCGCGACTAAGGGAGCTGCTGGGAATGCGGCCAAGAGGCCCCGGGGGGACTGCCGTGCCCCCGGCCTTGGAACCCCGGGAAGTTGCTTATCTGCTGCCACCCTGAGCTCAGGGCGGAACGACAGAGACCCTGGATCGGCGACTCCCGTGGGTTTCACCTCCACCTTCCACGGCCACCGGGCCCTCTGCAGTCTGCACCTTGCAAGGAGCCCACCCACCTGACAGCCGGTGCCCCATCCACGGAGTGGGCCGGGAGGCCGGGACCGCGCCTGCGCGGGCAGGCCACCGCCTGCGTCTCCGCCCCGACGCGGCCCTCCTGTGCGCAAGCCAACGCTTTTCCCCCGTGTCGTGGCTGGCCACCCACCCCGGCTCCAGACCACCCCCCTCCCGTTTCTGGGGGACAAGGCGCCGCGGAGAGCTCTGTGCTCCTGGTCATGGCCTGGTCTTCCTGGTGCGTTCACGGCGCGTCCTCCTTAGGGCAAAAGACTCCTGCCACCAGGGACTCCAGGGCTTCGGAACGCTGGGCCAGGAACAGGGGCTCAGACCGACGCGTGTGTCTGTGCTATTTCACACCAGCGAGCAGCAGCGGGTGGCCACGCATGGGGGGCCCCAGGTGCCTGCCACCCGCCCCCAACGTAACCCAACAGCATGCCAGCCCCCGGCGTCTCCAGCGGCACAGGGGTGTGGGAGCTGCCCCGGCCCCGCCCAGGGCTGGGTCGGCCTAGGAAACCTGCCTCCAGCCCCTCCTGCCCCTCAGCGCCTCTGCTCGGACGCCTGTCCTCCGGGACCAGCGGCGGCCAGGCCTCGGGGAAGGAGATTCTAGCAAGCGGCTGGCTTGGCTCGGGCTGCCACTGTTCCCTGACCCCTGGGTCGTGGCGGGGACCCCGTGGGGGCCCGGCTGGGAGAGAATGAGGGCATTTTGGCAAACTGGACACAGGAGGTTGCTAGGGGCAAAGAGAGGCGTGCCCAGCTGAGGAAGGGCAGGCTCCCCTCCTCCGGCACCGGAAGCCGCCGGCCGTCCTGTCTGGTCTCCCCGGGCCTGGCACTTCTCAGCCTCCGAGCGTGGTTGCTCCGAGGTGCAGCCTGCTTTCTCCGCGACGAGGCTCTCAGGAGACGCGGCGGGCGGTCTGTTCGGGGCCTGCTGATGCTTCAGGGGAGCCCAGCCGTGGCCCATGGGGAACTCACAAAATAGCCCCTGGTGAGGCTGCGCCCCGGTCTGGTTGGTGCCCGGGACACAGGGACAGGTCGAAAGGCACTGGACAGCGTCTCTCGGCTGCGTTTACCTCTAAGCCAGCCCCACTCCGATCCAAAGAAAAACAAATCAAACAAGACACTGGTAATTACCCATCTGGTTAAGAAAGGCCTAGCACCCTTCTCCTCCTGAGCGAGGATGCGCAGAGAGGCCCTGTTGCTGGGAGATGAACAGTCAGCCTCGCCTCTGGGGAGGAACCTTGACCCAATATACCAACAGCCTTAAAAAATACTGCAACTCCTGCCCTGGCTGGCGTGGCTCAGTGGATTGAGCACCAGCCTGAGAACCAAAAGGTCACCAGTCTGGTTCCTGGTCAGGGTGCGTGCCTGGGTTGCAGGCCAAGTCCCCTGGTCCCCAGTAGGGCGCGCGCAAGAGGCAACCACACGTCTCTGTTTCTCTTCCCTTTCTCCCTCCTTTCCCCTCTCTAAAAATAAATAAATAAAACCTTAAAAAAAACCCCAAACTACGGCCACTTCTTAGCCCAGCAATTTCACTCTGGGGGACCGATCCTAAAGACCACCTGTCTTCAGCCAAACTACAAGCAGAAAATTAACACAAAAATACTCATGCAGGGTGAGGACCTGGGAAGGCGAGTGCAACAAAGTTACAGCCTTTCCTGGCCAACAAGAAGCTAAGTTACACCAGCAGCGGGAATGGATAACAGGCTCTGAAGGGGCCTGAACGGCAAGAATGCAAAGACAACACACACACACACACACACACACGCACGCGCATGTAGCATTAAAAGATTTGCACAAAATATGCCAAGTGTAACTATGGTGGTCTGGGTGGTGGAATTTGTAGCAGTTTTTATTTAATTATACTCTGCTGGATTTCTTTAAGTTTTCAGCGGTAATATTGATGAATAAAAGGAAATGAATACCTTTCAAAGGCTTTTTGAAATCAGAGCAGTCGCAGGAGACGCGGCGAGGAGGGGCTGCGTGCGGGCAGGGGCCGCAGCCGGGCGGGGCCAGCGGAAGAGGAAGCCCTTCTACGTGCGTGCCTGATTTTCTACCGGGCGGGAGTGGACTCGTCAAAAATAAATAAATGAATATTTTTCTGACTTCTGGTCAAGATGGTGGGGTAGGCCGACACGGCTCACCTCCTCACACAACCACAGCAAAATTACAGCTAAAATATAGAACCACCATTGCTCAGAACCAACAGAAATCGAGTTGAATGGAAGTCTGACAAGTACGGAATTAAAGAAATCACATCCATCCAGGCTGGTAGGAGGGGCGCAGGTGCAGAACGGGCTGGTCCTATATCCACGTGCGGTAGATAAAAATTCGGGAGGGATCTCAGGGGCAAGGAGTCCCAGCCCCACATCAGGACCCCAGCCCAGGGTTCCAGTGCCAAGAATATAATCCCCGTAACTTCTGGCTGCAAAGACCAATGGGAACTGAGTCAGCGGAAGAAACGTCTGGAGCCCCAAGCAGTTCCTCTTGAAGAACCCACACACAGGCCCACCTACTCAGACTCACTTCCTCTGGGCCCCGGCGCCTGAGTGACAGCTTGTAGGCCTCCAGTGGCGAGCAGAGGGAGGCTGAGGTGTCTGGGGTCAAGGCGAGCAGAGGCCATCGTCCCTTTTCTGGGCCCTCCCGGCACTGAGCCAGCAGAGTGGCACTGTAGCCAAGAGTCCATCCACGTGGCTAACACTGTTCGATTCACCGTGGAGATCCCAAGACTCCGCCCCAACCAGCTTACGGCCCCACCCGAGCTGCTTTTCCGTAGGAACGGTCCTGGCTCACACTTCACAGCTCCCTAAATCCTCTCAGACAAGCCGCAGCTGGCCTCTGAGCCCCAGCCCCACTCTAGCAGCCTAGATTCACAGCTTGGCTTCACCTGGGAATCCCCAAGCCCAGCACAAGCAGCAGCCGTCTCAAGCTGCTTTACGGCTCAAGCGGGGTGGCCCCAGGCAACACACAGGAGGGGGCTGACCTTGACCTGCACCACCCAGGAAACCCCAGGACCAGCGCACCCAGTGGGCAGCTACAGACCACGTCGGAGCACCGCCACCTGCCCCTGCACAGCGGGTCCTCCACGGGGGGCGGAGGCGGGTGGTCTGTGGTCACAGCCAGTCCTTGCAGCTGACTGGCCTGGGTCAATCCCTCCCATTGACCTGCCAACAGCAACCAAGGCTCAACTACAAGAGGAGGGGGTGCTCAGCCCACACTAAGGACCCACCCTGAGTGCCCAGCTTGGGTGACGGGGGAGGCTGCGCCACTGGACCCTACAGGACACCTGCTACATTAGGCCACACGACCAAGACAGGGAGTCAAAGCAGCTCAGCTAATACATAGAAACAAACACAGGGAGGCTGCCAAAACGAGGAGACAAAGAAACATGGCCCAAAGGAAAGAACAGATTAAAACTCCAGAAAAGAGCTCAATGAAATGGAGGTAAGCAATTTGTGAGATGCAGAGCTCAAAACACGGGTTATGAGGCTGCTCAAGGAACTTAAGAGAGGACCTCAGCAGCATAAAGAAGATCCGGTCAGAAACGAAGGATTCACTAACTGAAATAAAGAACTATTTACAGGGAAACAACAGGAGAGTGGATGAAGCTGAGAATGAAACCAATGACTTGGAACATGAGGAAGCAAAAAACCACCAATGAGAACAAGGAGAAAAGAGAACCCCCCAAAAAAGGGGATAGTGTAAGCAGCCTGTGGGAGAATTTCAAGGGGTCCCACATTCGCATCATAGGGGCGCCAGAAGGAGAAAAAGCAAGAAATTGGAAGCTTACTGGAAAAAAATAATGAAAGAAAACTTCCTTAATTTGGCAAAGGAAACAGACATGTATGACCAGGAAGCTCAGAGAGTCCCAAACAAGATGGATGCAAAGAGGCCCACGGCAGGACACATCGTAACTGAAATGCCAAAGGTTAAAGACGAAGAGATGGGAGGGGGAGGGGGAGATGGGTGGGAGGAGGGGGATTAAGAAGTACAAATGGGTAGTTACAGAGTCGCCAAGGGGACGTAAGTTGCAGTAGCGAAAGAACTTGCACACCCGGCCGGTGAACAAGGGTTGGGGGTTGCCTGAGGGAGGGGGGTGCTGCGTGGAGGGGGCAGAGGGGAAAAATCAGGACAACTGTAATAGCATCATCAATAAATATACTTTTTTTAAAAAAAGGATTTTTTTTGTAACAAGGAAATACTGAAATACAAACACTAAAGGCACAGGAGCCGAGAGAGCCTGAAGAGCAAGGGACGTCTGTTCTGCCCCTGAGGGAGTAGGGACGTGAGGTCTGGGCGGCCCTCAGGCCCACAGTCCATGCAAGTGACCCCAGGACCCAGCTGGTCAAAGTGGGCTTGCTCAGGGCGTCGGGCTGCGTCGAGCCCAGATCACTCAGCCACGGGGTGGCCGCTGCCCAGGGCCACTTCCCCTGGGGGAGGCAGGCCGGCCATGGAGGACTTCGGTGGTCGCAGCTGTGGGACCTCGGGGTGGGACCCCAGGAGCCCAGAGACCGGCGGAGCGTCACCCCGCCTGTGAATAACTCCTGGTCACCTTCTCGAGTCGGGAGCGTTCTCTAAGGCCACCCTGCCCGGCCCCAGGCGGTGCAGAAATGATCCGGGCAGCCCGTCTGGCCGGGGGCGCGGCGCGCGCGGCACGACAAGGCTGTGAGCAGCTTCTCCTGGAGACACGGGCTCAGCCTTCCCTCAGCACCGGGTCGGCCCAGCCTCTGGTGCTCTGCACACACACGGAGACGCGGGCGCCGGCACTCTCCTACCTCACGGCGGCCGGCGGGGGAGGCAGGGGTCTGTGCGCAGGGCCCTCTGTCCTGGAGCCACAGGAGCCACCGACACCGCACCTCCCCTGAGCTCCCTGCCTTGGGGAGGGGCTGGCTCCCGAGGAGGAGAGGCAGAGCAGGAGTGCGGGGGAGGGGCTGTGCAGAAAAGGCACCCTGTTGGAGCCCAGGGCCGCTGTGGTTCTCAGTGCGTGGGAAGGTTCCGGTGCGACCTTCTCCCATGGCGTGTGACCCGATGCGTCCACAGAGAGCAATGGCGCCCTCTCCTGAAAGCCGACAACTTAAAAAGCGGAACCCGGCTGGGACAGTGAGGTGCGGGCGGGAGGCAGAAGGGCCGCGTGCACTTGGCCTTTCCCTCTCAGGGGCCCCCGGGAACGGGCTGCGGGACGGGGCGCCCTCAGGGCTCCCCATGATGCCGGGGCTCTGGCTGCCAGGCCCCGAGCCCCTGGGCCCGGCGCGGGGGGCGCCGAGTCCCGCGACGCGTGCTGGGTCAGAAGTCGCCTTCACAGACGAGCGGCTGAGCGCCGTGACCTCCCCGGACCCCACGTCTGGAGGGTGGGCTCGGAAACCCGGCCCCACAAAAGCCACACGGCGTGGTGCCGTCCTCGTCCATAATAATTTCCAGGCCACAAAGGGGCTCCGCCGGGCCTCTCCCGCAGGAGGCGCACGGCCGCCCACGGTGATACGGGGTGGGGTGGGGCCCGCCGCTCCCAGTCACCTCCTGCGACACCGCTGCCCTAACGGGCTAATCGCCATACTGCACCTCGGCCCCCAGCTCCTTGGTGATGTAGCCCACCAGCATGGTGAGCAGCCGCTGCTTCAGGGCCTCACTGCCCATGACCAGGGCCACCAGCTGCACCGCGTCTGTCCCATCCAGGTCCCTGACGATGGCCGTGAACTCATTGAGCAGCTTCTGCTGCTGAGCGGGCGACAGCTCCATCAGGATCTGAGGGACAGGCTGAAACTGGCCACTGGTCATCCAAGCCCCCAGGAGCCCCCCAACGGTGCCCCCTAGAAGACAAGGAAGGGTCCGTGAGTCGCGCCCGGCTCATAAATGATGGCCTTGAGCTCGCTGAGAGCCCGTCCCCATCATGACGCATGGGCACGTTCACCAGCGGCCATAGCCGGCTCTGCTCCGCGGCGGTGCGGGTCCCTGCTGGCAGTTCTGGTCACAGCCCATGGTTGTGCCGTGCCCCCCGCCCCGGGAAACCCCCTGTTCCCAGTGCAGAGGATGCAATGTCACCCTCCCACCGAGGGACCAGGGAAAACCAGCCAGACTTCAGTCGGTGCCAGAAACTGGATCCCACACGAAGCAGGTGCTGAGACGGGGGCAGGGGACGCTCTATCAGGGGCGTCCAACCCAGGACGGCTGTGGATGCAGCCCACACAAAATCATAAATTTACTGAACACATAATGAGGTTTTTTTTGTGATTACGTGTCTCAATGTATTTAATATGGGGCCCAAGACAACTCTCCTTCCTTCAGTGTGGCCCAGAGACGCCAGAAGGTAGGACACCCCTGCTAGGCAGCAGGTGGCTGCCTCTCCTGCATTGGACTGTGTGACTTGGAAACGGGACCCCTCTCTGAACCGCTCGTGTGAGCCGGCCAGGCAGCAGGTGCTCCCAGTGGTGAGCCATCACCATGGGGAGGGGACCTCTCAGGGCTACCCGGGGGTCTTCACACTGCAGGACACAGCCCTGGGGCGGGGTGTCCCCAGTTCTGCAGGACACGGACGCCCTGTCCAGAGCACCCCGGGCGTCTGAGACTCAGCCTCAGAGGCGTGTGTTTTCCCCGGGACGTGGTCTGTACCCAAAGATCATTTCACAGAAGCTCCTCACGCAGCACGCAGGCCGCTCTGAGGTGTCTGGGACGGGAGGCCTTTGTCCCGCAGCCGCCAGGCCGGCAGCCCCTGCGAGGCACGGCACTTACCAACGGCTATTCCTGGGGGACCACCGAACAGGCCACCAACGAAGGCCACAGCGCCAGTGACCAGAGCGCCCCTTCCTGAGTGTTTGACGGCCGCTTTCATCTTCTTCTCCTCCGAAATGGAGCACAGCAGCCTCATGACGTCTTTCATCGCGACGGGCATCCTGGCAGCCGCGGAGGGAGCCTTTCGGGGGAGACGTTCAGGTGCGTTAGCGTATTTCCAACGGTACCGCCAGTCACCCCAGAGCGCTGCGGGCAGGTCCCCGTTTTGGGGAGAGCACCCTGCTCCACTGGGTGCATGAGGGACAGCCCACCGTCATGTGACAAGCTCCCTGTCACTGAGAAAGCAGGACTGCGGTCACTTCCTAAGCAAATAGAAGCAGCGGAGCCGACGGAACCCGTCTCCTCTGCCATCTCCGTGACTCCGACTGGGACAGAGTAAGAAGTGTCCCCGTTCATCCCAAGTGACGCGAAGCCTGGCAGAGTGCGGGAAGGCCCAGCCTGAGTCCTCTCGGGTGGCAGGAGGTCTGGGCTCAGGCCAAGCCAGGGAGGGGGACACAGGACTCGGCCCCCACGCTGCCCTCACACCCGCCCGGCACGCCCTGGGACCCCGAGCGGGGAGTCGGGTCCTGGCTGTGGGGCGATTAGCCACGTGCAGGCTGGGCCCGGAGGGGCGGGGGGAACGGGTGCCTCGCGCCTGGAGAGCGGGGACCCCGCAGACCCCCAGACGTGGCGGCTCCTGGCCACATCCTGGTGCCAGTCCACACCCCTGGCCTCCAAGGCCACCCCTGGAGGCCACCCACTTCTACTCACGGGACGGATGAGGCAGAAAGATGGAGCAGCCAGAGGACGAAAGAAACGAAACAACTCCAGGGCCTGGCGTGTCTGCGGGGAGACGACCGGAGGAGGAATCGACCTTTGGAACAATGAAGTCAGAACAACTCTCTGGGGTAGGAGACTGTTTGCCGCTACTCCAGGCTCCTAGGAAATGGGAGGCCGGCTTCCAGGAAACAACAGGCCAGGGGCCGCGTGGACAGGCAGGCTCTGCTCTGGGTCCTGGGGTTGCAGGGCCCCCCCTTGGCCAGATTGGAAATCACAACACAGAGGAGCCTCTTCCTGCTTCACTGGAGCCAAGGCGGGACCCCTCCCTCTCCAGCCCCTCCGGCCCCGCCCCTTCATTCAGGGCTGGCCCTTGTGCACAGTCTCCCAGGGAGCCCATGGGGACCTTAGGGGCTGACCTATTGCTCCGTGTCTTTTGGTGGATGTGGGTGTTTTGACCCTGGGGGGCCCAGGTGGGTGTCTCCTGGACCAGGGCCCTCCGAGCCCTGGGAGAGACCTGTGTGCCCTCAGACCTGCCTGGGGACAGGTGCGGGCTGGGAGGGGCCTGCACACTCAGGTCCCAGAGGCCTCTGCGCTGCCCGGAGAGCCGGGGGACCCCGGGCTCGGGGCCTGTCCCCACTCTGACTCCCAGATGTCCTGGGTCCCCAAACACCTCCTGGCATCCAGAGCCCTGGGCTCCACAGGGGCCACGCCGCAGGGACCGCGGGCAGGCAGGGCGTGCGCCCGCCTCCTCCCCAGAAGAGGCCCCGTCTGTTCTCCCGGAGGCCAGGGCTGTCCACACACCGATGGCACAGGCACAGGCACAGGACACGCGCGGCGAAAGCCACTCTGAACCGGAAGGGAGGGCTGAACGGATTGGCCTGGGGAAGCGAAACAGACAAAGGAGCCACAACCCTGCTTCCCAAGGAACTGTTTGCGAAGGCGACGAGGAAGCTGTCCTTGCGACCCTGGATGGAGGGCGGAGGGCGGAGGGCGGAGGGCGAGGGGACTGGAAAGTGAAAACACTGCAGAACCGGCATTGCCCAGTCAGGCCGCCTGCCCCCAGAGGCAGGCCCTCCTTCTGGGGATGGGGCTGCCCCCTTCTGCCTCGCAAATGCCCTCGCCTGTCTCTAGTGGGGGCGCTCTTGGGGCTTCTGCCTGAGTCCCGCTTCCCAAACAGCTCTCCTGGGTGGTCTCGGGGGAACACTTGTGGCTGTCACGTTGAAAGGCCTTTCCTTCTGAGGCTCACAGTGGCTGGAACTTCAGAATCAGGAGCTGGCCCACCGCCTCGGGTCCCATCCCCTCTCTGGAAAGTCAGAAGGCCCAGCCCCGCCTTCCCGCGCCCCCCCCCCCCCGGGGGGGCTCCCTGCCTCCTGCCCCTCCTGGCGGTCTCACCCTTCTCAAAGGGTCTTTTCCAGGCCCCCCAAACCCCACCTCCCCTTCTAGATGGCTGACAGCCGTTCCTCACCATCTCTGGAGCGGCACCTGGGCCTACGCCCCCACGCCCCGCCTTGCCCCCGCCTTGCCCCCGCCAGGGCCGGGTGTGCTGAGGGCAGCAGCTGGCCCGCCGGGACCTGCCCGCTACATGCCACAGGCCCACGCGATGGTGGGAGGTCACAGCACGTGGGTTGCTGAGGGAGCTGACACCTCCTCCCCTACCCCCCGCCACCCCGCACAGAGGTCAGTGAAGGAAGTGAAAACACAGGCACCCAGCACCCCAGGCCAGGGCGGAGGTGACTGCGTTGGCACTGGTGAGCGCGCGGCGCTGGGGGCAGGGCCGGCCGGTGCCTGGGTCGCACCGCGCTTCGCCTCCTCCCGCTGCTGCTTCCTCCCGGCGCGCCCCGCACTCCCGTCTTCATCCGGAAAATGAATGAACGGCCGCATCGGCTCCGGTCGGCCCGCAAGTACAGGTCCCACCCCGCAATCGGGACGCGCGCCCCTCCCGGCCCGCACCTGCCGTAGGCTGGCCCACCGCCGCGCCTGTCCCCTGAGCTTCTCCCGGGGACACTGGAGACGCCCGCCCCTCAGCCGGAGGGTCACCCAGTCCTGGCCGCGCCCAGAGCTCCGGCTCCGCCCCCCCGCCTTCCGGCGCGGCGCGGGGACCTTCCGGGTCGCCGCCGAGAGGGACCCTGCAGAACCGAGTTCTCGGCCCTGCCCCCGCGCCCAGGCCTTGGCCCCGGCCCGGGCCACCCGCCTCGCAGGAGGGCGCCGGGCTGGGCGCGCGACCTTCCGACAGGGCCCCGTTGGCGTTTGGATCAGTCTGGTCACGCAAAGGCACCCCTGCCCTTCCCCCACCCACGCGGCGCCCCTTGTCTCCCTTTGGCCCGTGGACCCTCGGACCAGGGACCCACGCTCTCTCATAGCCCCGCAGGGAGAGCTCGGGGCCTCGGGAGGGAAGGGCTGAATCAGCGTTTGCTGACAGTGCAGGCCCCGGTCCAGTAGCAGGTGTCCCCAGCAGACACCCGGGCCTCTGGCTGCGCCGTGGCGGGGCGCGGGGGCGGGGGGGGGGGCGGGGAGCGGGGGGGGGGGCTGCTGATTGGGGGAAGGGCAGTGTGAAGGCCAAGGCGGGCTTCCTCCTCGCGTTCCAGGGCAAAGCTGGCGTTGGGGGCCTGAGGGATGCAGGGGGCCCCAGGAGTGTGGGCTCACAGGACCCCCCAGACCCCCAGTTCGCCGATACATGGACTGCTTGGAACGCCAGGCCCGAAGGAGTGCTGCGCGACCCGCGGTCCCGCCGGCTCGTTTGGGGCCTGGCGCGGGGGAGAGCCATCTGCGCCTGTCCAGTCAGGGCCGGCTGAGGCATCCCTGTCTCGAGACCCGGGCAGCGGCCGCGGAGCGCGTGACAGACAAAGCGCTTTCCATCTCAGGGGGGATGACCCTGCAGGCGAGGGCCCCCTACATGGGCGGGGCAGGAAAATGTACCGCAGCTTTTTTATCCGCGTGTCTGGTGAGGGCACCTGGGCTGCTTCCAGGTCTGGCGATTGCAGACACGTTGCACTGAGCATTGGGGCGCTTGTGTTCTTTTGACCTAGTGTTTAGGGTCTGTTCAGATACGTCCCCAGAGGTAGGATTGCTGGGTCATAAGGTAGTTTCATTCTTAATTTTTTGAGGACCCCCCACCCCGCTCTCCACCATGGCCGCAGGAATCGGCATTCTACCCACCCGTGCACGGGGCTTCTTCCTCTTTCTCCACGTCCACGGCCGCGTCCTCGCCGGCACTTGCTGTTTGCTGATCTGTTGGTGGCGGCCGCTCTGGCAGGTGTGAGGTGACGGCTCACTGTGGTTTTAATTTTCATTTCTCTGATGACTAGTGACGTTGAGCATCTTTTCACATGTCTATTGGCCATCGGTATGGCCTCTTTGGAGAAGTCTCTATTTAGGTCTTTTGCCCCTTTTTAAATTGGATTGTTTGTGTTTTTGGTGTTGAGTTGTATGAGTTCTTTAGAAATGTTGGATATTAACCCCTTCTCAGCTGTGTCGTTGGCGAGTATGTTCCCCCACTCAGCAGGCTGTCTTTTCATGGTGTCACGCAAACGCTTTTGAATGTGATGGGGTCCCACTATTTTTTCTTTTGGTTCCCTTGCCCTAGGAGACGCAGCAGGAAAAAGCGTTGTTGCAATAAATGTTCGAGATTTTACTGCCCATGATTGTCTCTAGCATTTCTATGGTTTTGAGAATTACATGTAAGTAGTTAATCCTGTGAGTTTATTCTTGTATGTCATGTAAGAAGGTGGTAGGTATAGTTTCTTCTGTGCGTGCGTGTTTTTAAACCTCATCTTTAGTGTATGTTTGTGCATCACCTTTCAGCCCCCTTCCTCCTGCCTCCCCACGGCCACCACCACGCTGTGGTCTATGCCCAGGAGTCCTTCCTCCTGGTTTCTTTTTTTTGAACATGTCTGTCCAGTTTTTCAAACACCATGTATCACTAGAGTGTCTTACCCTGTGGTATGTTCCCATCTCTCCGTCAGGAAGAGACTGAAATAAAGGTGTGGGCTTATGGCGGGGCTCCCTGGGTGCACCGCCGGTCTGCCCGCCTCTTTCTGTCTCGGTGCCAAGCTGTTCTGATCACCGTGGCCTTGCAGTATAGTTAGGTATCAGGAAGCATGACTGCCCCGGTTTTGGGCAGGAACAAAAAGTGGAAATGGCACGAGCTGAGCATTTGCAAACCGTTTCGGTAGATGGGACACGCTGACTGTCCTAGGGCGCGCCTGGCGCTCCGGATATCAGAGCGAGGTGGACCAGCGGCGAGTCGGCGGGCGTCTTAGAGGAAATCCGCGGCCTCGCTGCCAGCTCCGCAGGTTAGACACGTGGCGTGCAACCGCGGGGAGCGTCTGCGGGAGGAAGAAGCGGGGACCTCGCGGCCGCGTGGCCAATGGAGGTGGGCGGTGCTCCCCCAGGCGGAGAGCGGCCTGGGCCCTGCCCGCCCCTCCTGACCCTGAGCGTGGAGTTCGGTGCCCCCCACCGGGCCCCGCCCCACGGCAGCCCCTTGCGCGCCGCCCGGAGCCGCGGTCCGTCGGCCTCTCTCCTGCTCTCAGACGCCCTGCCGCCCACCGCCCAGAAAAATGCTGCCACTTTGTTCCCAGCAACTTCACCTTGAGGGACCGGCCCTAAAGACCGTGTGTCACAGCCCTGGCCCGCGGTGGGGGCGGGGGTGACGCTTGTGGGTAGTGCACTGAACCAAAGGTCACCGGTTCGGTTCCAGGAGCAGGTACATGTCCGGTTGCGGGTTCTGTCTCTATCAGGGCACATACGGGAGGCGACAGATAAATGCTTCCCTCTCACATCAATATTTGTCTTCCTCTTTTTCTCTGTAGCTTCCCCTCTCTCTAAAAATAAATTTTTTAAAGAAACCACGGCCCCCGTTCCCTCCCCGTTGCTCCCTACCTTTGACAGGGGTTGACTCCCCATGTTCGTGTCACCGGCCAGGAGTGCGGGGGAGGGGCTGTGCAGAGAAGGCACCCTATTGGAGCCCAGGGCCGCTGTGGTTCTCAGTGCGTGGGAAGGTTCCGGTGCGACCTTCTCCCAGGGCGTGTGACCCGACGCGTCCACAGAGAGCAATGGCGCCCTCTCCTGAAAGCCGACAACTTAAAAAGCGGAACCCGGCTGGGACAGTGAGGTGCGGGCGGGAGGCAGAAGGGCCGCGTGCACTTGGCCTCTCCCTCTCAGGGGCCCCCGGGAACGGGCTGCGGGACGGGGTGCCCTCAGGGCTCCCCATGATGCCGGGGCTCTGGCTGCCAGGCCCCGAGCCCCTGGGCCCGGCGCGGGGGGCGCCGAGTCCCGCGACGCGTGCTGGGTCAGAAGTCGCCTTCACAGACGAGCGGCTGAGCGCCGTGACCTCCCCGGACCCCACGTCTGGAGGGTGGGCTTGGAAACCCGCCCCCCGTGGCCACGCAGCACGACGTCCTCATCCGTAATTTCCGGACCACGAAGCGGCCCCCCTGGGCCTCTCCCGCAGGAGGCGCCGGGCCGCCCTAGGAGGGGAGTTTCACCTGCTGCGCCACGAGAAAGTTTAAAATATGGGACAGGTGACTATTCAGTCGGGGCACTGACCTTCTTTCCCTTAGATGGGCAGTAAAAAAATGACAACAGACAACACAACAGTAGGCGGCGGGTGCGAGTGAACCAAAAGTACACCTCTTGTGTGTCAGGTCAGCAGAAATTAGAATTTATTTTCTGCAGTGCCCCAGAGTTTCTGTGGTTTTTTTGCGTGTGTCACGCGGTGAAAAGGCTGAGCATCGCAGGTGTAAGGGGCACACGGCGCTGTGGCCGCCCCAGCCCCCGTCGCTCCTGTGGGCCCGCTGCCGCAGAGGCTAGCTGCCACACCGCACCTTAGCCTTAAGCTGAGTCTGGAGGAAGTCCATGAGCATGCGAGCCACCTGCTGCTGAAGCCTCTCGTTGCTCAAGACCTGCACGGTCAGGTCTGCGATGTCTCTCCAACCCCAGTTCTTCAGGATGCCCCTGAGCTCGTTGAACAGCTTCTGCTCCTCAGCGGGTGACAGCTCCATTAGGATCTCAGGGACAGGCTTGAAGGGCTCACTCACCATCCAGGCCACCAGCCCTCCGACGGTGCCCCCTAAAAGACACGGAAGGTTCCGTGAGCCGGGCCCGGCTCACACACGATGGCCTTGAGCTCGCTGAGAGCCCATAGCCACCCTGGCGAGCCGGCACAGCCGACTCAGTGCCGCCCGGCTGCGCGGAGGGCACGGCTGGTGTGGCCGGACGTCCCGGAGCCAGGCAGCCGCCCCCCGGCAGGCGTGGGCCGGGCCCGCTCTCCTGGAGGCCGCGCGAGGCGTCTCCCCGCAGAGCTGGGCTCACGAAAGCGCTCTCCCTGGGCCGGAGGTTTCCCCGCGTCCGCGCCAACCTTCTCTGCAGCGGAGGGGCCGCGGAGGGGCCAGCGCCCTTCCCAGGACCGCCCCAGGAGCAGGCCGTGTCCTACGCTGAGCGGCTCACACGCCCCTCGCCCCTAAACGTTGCAAGTTTCCAGGGCGCCCCCACAGTGGAGGGGCCGTGCGGACGGGGAAGGAGACCCCCTCCTCTCTTGAAGCCGCATCCTGTGGACAGCCCCCCAGAGCGGCATGGTGATGGCGGAAAATGTATTTCTTTTTTAAAGATTTATTTAATGTGAGAGAGAGGGGAAGGGAGGGAGAGAGACAGGGACAGAAACATCGATGGGAGAGAGAAACATTGATCAGTCGCCTCTCGCACGGGCCGCGACAGGGGACCCGGCCTGCGCCTCAGGCAGGTGCCCTGGCCCGGCCGGGATCAAACCAGCGACCTCTTGCTCCGGGGGTCGAGGCCCAGCGCACCGAGCCGCACCCGCCAGGGCGATGGATACCCAATGTAACGCATTCAGCTAGTTCTCTTTCTGCTGCCCTCGAAGGGCACACCCACGGCTTCAAATGCACATTTGTTATCAGAGTCAACGCGCTATTTAAACACTGGAGGGCCCCGCATCACTAGAAAGTTGCCTTACACTCGTTCAGGGCAGATCTGCAGCAGGAAGACCGACCAGGAGATGGGCTCTGAAAGCCAAATGCCTTCAGGGGGTGGGCAGGTGACTGAAAGGAGTGACAAGGGCTGAGTGGGCCAGTGGTGACTAGGACTGCGGGGTCCCTGTCTAAAGGGCAAGGCCACCCCACGACAGCCAGCGGCTGGCACCCAGAGCGCCAGGTTTGCACCCTTTAACCATCGCATGGTTGTACAATGTCAGCATTCAGGGATTTAAAAGCGGAGGCTGAGCTGGATGCAGGCACCCCGAGAGAGCAGAGGCAGCAGACGCGGCGCTGACATCACGGCGGGGACACCAGGCTGACGCGACCTGAACCCGGTGGCCGAGGGGCACATCACCGTGGAGATGCCGGGGACGTCTGTGTCCCTGACGTGCAGCGACGGCCAGGGAGCTCGCCCTGCAGGTCCTGGGCCGAGATCTGCCGCGCGGGCCCGTGTTGAGACAGGCCGCAGCCACACCCGGGCAGACAGGCGTCCACGCAGCCCCTGGCCGCCCCCCCTCCACCCTCCCGAGGCCGTGAACGCCCGCGAGGTCCGAGAGACCGTCCCAGACCCCGGGACCAAGGACGCGCGGTACCAAAGGCCATGCGACAGCGCAGGCGGGACCCTGGGGCAGGAGAGGGTCCGGAACGTGAAAGCGGATAAAACCATGGACCTGAAGTCCAGGGAAGAGAGAACGGTGCCGGGACAGCGCCGGCCTCCGGCTGGGACGGATATCCCGGCACCAGGAGACAGAACAGGGGACCTCTGTCCACCGTCTCTCTGACTTCCCTGTCAGTCTGACACCGATCCAAGGAAAAAGCTCCTGTGAAAGGAGGCGCCCGGCCGGGGCGGCCCGGCACCCAGGGCGGCCCGTCCCGAATCTCTGCTGAGCCCGCGGGCCAGGCCGCCCCTTCGCCGGGGCCCCGCGGCGGCAGGGTCCGCCGCGGGCCCCTCCCCGCGCCAGGCCGCAGCCCGCCCTGCCCACAGCGGGAGCCACCGCCCGCCCGCGGTTCTGGACGCTGCCCGAGCCCGAGGTTGCGCCGCCCCCACCCCCGCGACACGCCCCTGTTCCTAGTGCAGAGGCCGCAGCGTCCCCCTCCCTCCCAGGGACCAGGGACATCAGCCGGACTTCAGTCGGTGCCGGAAACGGCCTCCCACACGGGGGCAGCTGCTGAGACAGGGGCAGGGGATGCTGTGGGCGGAGGCGGCCGCTTCTCCCGCATCCACTGTGTGGCTTGGGAACGGGGACACCCCTCTGGGCAGCTCGTGCGAGCCGGCCAGGCAGTGGGTGCCCCCGGTGGCCGCCCCTCCTGAGGAGGCCGGTGATGGCGGGGCAGGGGGACCACCCGGGGCGCAAGACACATCCCTGGCGCAGCCCTGTCCAGAGCGCCCTGGGCGTCTGAGACTCAGCCTCAGAGGCGTGTGTTTTCCCCGGGACGCGGTTTGTACACAAAGATCATTTCATAGAAGCTCCTCACGCAGCACACAGGCCGCTCTGAGGTGTCTGGGATGGGAGGCTTTTGTTCCTCAGCCGCCAGGCCGGCGGCCCCTGCGAGGCACGGCACTTACCAACGGCGAGTCCTGGGGGACCACCGAGCAGGCCACCAATGAAGGCCACGGTGCTCACCACACCAGCTCCCTTCCATGCATGGTGGACGGCTGCTTTCATTTCCTTCTTATCTGCGATGGTGCACAGCAGCCTCATGGCGTCCCCTCTCGTCAGGTAGGGCATCTTGGGGGCCCTTGGAGGAAGCCTTTCGGGGAGAGGTTCAGGAGTGTTAAACAGGAGAGCACCCAGCTCCACTGGGTGCATGAGGGACAGCCCACCGTCATGTGACAAGCTCCCTGTCACTGAGAAAGCAGGACTGCGGTCACTTCCTAAGCAAATAGAAGCAGCGGAGCCGACGGAACCCGTCTCCTCTGCCATCTCCGTGACTCCGACTGGGACAGAGTAAGAAGTGTCCCCGTTCATCCCAAGTGACGCGAAGCCTGGCAGAGTGCGGGAAGGCCCAGCCTGAGTCCTCTCGGGTGGCAGGAGGTCTGGGCTCAGGCCAAGCCAGGGAGGGGGACACAGGACTCGGCCCCCACGCTGCCCTCACACCCGCCCGGCCCGCCCTGGACCCCGAGCGGGGAGTCGGGTCCTGGCTGTGGGGCGATTAGCCGTGCGCAGGCTGGGCCCGGAGAGGCGGGGGGAACGGGTGCCTCGCGCCTGGAGAGCGGGGACCCCGCAGACCCCCAGACGTGGCGGCTCCTGGCCACATCCTGGTGCCAGTCCACACCCCTGGCCTCCAAGGCCACCCCTGGAGGCCACCCACTTCTACTCACGGGACGGATGAGGCAGAAAGATGGAGCAGCCAGAGGACGAAAGAAACGAAACAACTCCAGGGCCTGGCGTGTCTGCGGGGAGACGACCGGAGGAGGAATCGACCTTTGGAACAATGAAGTCAGAACAACTCTCGGGTAGGGGACTGTTTGCCGCTTTCCCTGGCTGCTGGGAAATGGAAAGACAACTCCCAGGAAATGATAAGGCAGGAGAGAGGTGGACAAACAGGTTCTGTCCAGGGTTCTGGGGTTCCAGCGCCCCCACGTGGCGGGGCTGGGAAGTCAGATCACAGAGGAGCCTCTTCCTGCTTCACTGGAGCCAAGGCGGGGCCCCTCCCTCTCCAGCCCCTCCGGCCCCGCCCCTTCATTCAGGGCTGGCCCTTGTGCAGTCTCCCAGGGAGCCCATGGGGACCTTAGGGGCTGACCTATTGCTCCGTGTCTTTTGGTGGATGTGGGTGTTTTGACCCTGGGGGGCCCAGGTGGATGTCTCCTGGACCAGGGCCCTCCGAGCCCTGGGAGAGACCTGTGTGTCCTCAGACCTGCCTGGGGACCTTGCGCATCCGCACACTCAGGTTCCGGAGGCCCCTGTGCTGCCGGGAGAGCCGGGGGACCCCGGGCTCGGGGCCGGCACCGCCCCCTCTTTCCCTCCTGCCATTTCTGGGACCAGCCATTCCCTACAGGGTGCAGGGGGCTCTGAAGGTCCCACTGACTCTGCCTTTGTGGCGGGGGACCCCCGCCTTCCACAGAAGGCCCCGGTGCCCTCTTGCTCGCTTGGGACAGCAAGACCCTGAGGGTGCAGGGCACACAGCGCCGGGCGTCTGTCGCGGGTTCTGCAGCTCAGAAAGTGCCGAGAGGCGCCCCCAGGTGTGTCTGTTCGGCCGCCGGGGCTTGAGTCTGAGAGGCCATGGTTAGGCCGGCCCCGCCTGCCGCCCCGGCCACGGGAGGACTCGCTGCGCCCTCCCCGCTCCGACTCCAGGTGTCCTGGGCCCCCAAACACCTCCTGCTTCCATGCCCCTCGCCTGCACAGGGGTCCAGCCACGGTGACCACGTGCAGACAGAACTCAGCCCGTGTCTTCCCCGGAAGAGGGCCCCTTCCGCTCCCCCGGAGGTCAACACTCATCCACACACAAGTGTCGCGGTGATAGGGCCACCACGCTCAGGCCCCTGGCCTCCCGCCTCGTGAGAGGGTGCTGTGCAGGGCGGGAGCCTCTCCCACCAGCCCCCATGGAGCCTTTAGGTCAATCTGGTCACCCAAGGCCGCCCCTGCCCTTCCCCCACCCACACGGAGCCCCTGTCTCCCTTTGGCCCGTGGACCCTCGGACCAGGGACCCACGCCCTCCCGTAGCCCCGCAGGGAGAGCTCGGGGCCTCGGGAGGGAAAGGCTGAATTAGGGTTCGGTGACAGTGCAGGCCCCGGTCCAGTAGCAGCTGTCCCCAGCAGACACCTGGGCCTCTGGCTGCGCCCATGGCGGGGCACGGGGGGAGAGGGGCAGGGGAGCGGTGGGGGGGCTGCTGATTGGGGGAAGGGCAGTGTGAAGGCCAAGGCGGGCTTCCTCCTCGCGTTCCAGGGCAAAGCTGGCGTTGGGGGCCTGAGGGATGCAGGGGGCCCCAGGAGTGTGGGCTCACAGGACCCCCCAGACCCCCAGTTCGCCGATACATGGACTGCTTGGAACGCCAGGCCCGAAGGAGTGCTGCGCGACCCGCGGTCCCGCCGGCTCGTTTGGGGCCTGGCGGGGGGCGGGGTGGGGGCGAGCCGTCTGTGCCTGTCCAGTCAGGGCTGGCTGAGGCGTCCCTGTCTCGCGACCCGGGCAGCGGCCGCGGAGCGCGTGACAAAGCTCTTTCCATCTCAGGGGTCATGACCCTGCAGGCGAGGGTCCCTGGCACTACAGAGGGGCACGTGGAGCCCCCACACGCCCACACCCACGGGGGCTGGCCTCAAACCACCGCAAGTCTGCAGAAGCCCTCCGGGGGCCTCCACGGCACCCCATGAAGCCCAGCAGCGACCCTGGGGGCGGGCCCCGATGTCACCCCCATTTCAGATCAGAGCCCGAGGCCGCAGGTGGCGCATGTCAGCGTCCGGGCTCCACCCCGGCCCACCTGGCTCTGAAGCCCTTGCTTGCGACCAGCGTCCCACGTTTTAAACCCTTTATACCGTACATTTCCTGGACCTTTGCTGTGGCCAGCTGTGTGTGGGCACCCACACACTGCCGTGGGGTTACAGTTGCCTGTCTGTCCGGCACACTCACAGGCTCGACAGGTGTGTGGCACAGGCCAACCGTGCTCTGTGGCGTCTGCTCAATGACCAACCCCCTGACAATGTGCTTCTGGGGACGTATCCCCCTCGGCCAGGGGCGCGTGACCCTGCCGTGTAACAGAGGTCTTAACCTCTGCCCTGAGGTTGGACGGACACGCTAACCGCTGTGTACGTTTGCTGTGCGCGACCCGATCTGTTTTGGGGTAGTGTCCACCTCTGAAGTCATGGCCACCGTCAAGGCCACGGGTACATGTGTCCCCTCCGGGTGTGCCCTCCTGCCCCAATATTACCTTTTCAAGTGCGCATGTGTGTGACGCCCACGGAACGTAAGGCTTCCCCCCGGGTGTGCACGAGACCGCAGCCTCGGCTGCAGGCAGGATGCAGTTGCAGTCTCCAAAAGTCACATGTCGTTCGTCCGTGCCTGAAGCTTTGTGCTCTTGGCCACCACTTGTTCTTTTTGTTTCCCTGGCCCCCTTGTGACAAGGGCCTTACGTAGTCACGGGGGGGCCCCTGCTATCGTGGAACAACCCCCCCTTTTTCCTGCTGCTTGGGGGACTGTCAAGAGCTCACGCTGACCCACTTCCCAGGGTCTCGGGGTGTCCCAGGCTTGGGGCCCGGAGAGGTTCTGCCTCTCGGCAGACAGCGCCCCCTGGTGGCACATTACAGAGCAGCCCACTCCCTCCCGCCCCGGGGCCGGAAGGCGGGGACTGGGCCGACTGGAAGACACAGGAGGGACAGATACAAGGTCAAGGTCCAGCCCTCCAGAGAAGGCCGCTGTAAGAAGTCACGCAAACCTTCACCCGGTCAGGTCTGAAGCCACGAGGCGCGCGCGCACCGAAGCCCCGCCGTGCGGCACCAGGCAACACGTCCCTCCCCTGGCAGCGGAGTCTCCGGCCTGGGGCTCCTGGACAAGGTGCCCTGTGGGGCCCCTGCACACGGCCCATGCCGCCCTGGTGCTCGCGGCGCTGAGGAAGGTCTGGCCGGGTGGCCTGCAGACGCCGTTCATCCTCTCTGCCTGGGCCCCTCCCTGGGGAGTGGCAGCGGGTCCCCGGGGTCCAGGACTGCCCCGAAGGTCGGAGGAGGCGGCCTGCAGGAATCCAAAGTGCTCCTGTGCACCCCGTGGGGTGTGAAAGCGACCAGGGGCCCTGAAGCCCCAGACGCGAGCCTGCACGTCCGCAGGGCCAGGAGCCCCGACGCCCCCCGACCCTCCCAGGGCGCCCCACCCTCCCCGGGCCGGCACCCCCGGAGCGCCGGGCTGTGTTCTCGGCGGCAGCGGGAGCCGGAGCTCAGTCGGGCCCTGAGCGCAGCACCCTGCGCGCCGCTTCCCCGAGGCCAAGTGCGCGCCCGCCCCTCACGTGCCCAGACCCAGGGCCGCGCGCCCTGGGTGCAGGCCACGCACACGCACGCCCCTGCAGCCTCCGAACGAGAGTACACGAGGACACTCCGTGATGTTTTGAAAACTGGGATGTTACGGTCAGCGCTCTTTTTTTATTTTAAATCACCTCTAAGGAGGCACCAGAGCCGAGCACTTACCGATTCCTGGAATCCTGACCCAGCCTCGCACGCAGCCCCGTAGCCACAGAGCCAGGGGCCGGTGGCCAGAGACCCCACGCCCTGGGCCCAGGGCCCCCGTCCCAAGGGCCTCTGAGGCCACACCCCCTTGTCCCCCGTCGCAGCCCCCGACACACGCCGCTTCTTTCGCCTGTCACGTGTTCAGCACCCCGCAGGGCGTGTGCCAGGCATCGGTTTGTTGGGCCCCGTAACCGGAACGCACACTGGGCGCTGCACACCGAGCCTGGCTGTCCCCCGCTCTGGAGACGAGACGTCTAGGGCGTCGGCAGGGCCCGGGGGAGACCCCCGCCTGCCTCTCCCAGCGCCTGGGGCGTCCGTCCGTCCTCGGCCCTCCTGGGCTCGCCGCTGCAAGCCAGCCCTGCCGTGAGCCCTTGCCCTCCCCGAGGGCCTGTGCGTGTGCCCAAAGGCCCTCTTCTTACAAGGACGCAGTCGCACGGTCTCCACTAGATCACTTCTGCAAAGGCCCTGTTTCCAAGTAAGGTCACAGGCACAAGCACCCGGGGTCAGGACCGCATCATAGCTTTTGGGGTGACGCGGCTCCACCCGGGACGCCGGGAACCGGGGGGCGGCCGCGGGACGGTTGCCCGAGCCTGCGCGCGACCAAGCGGCAGCCTGGCCGGGGCGCCGCCCACCTTTCACCTGCTAATTCTGAACCTGGTGGTGAGGGACAAGGCAGCTTTGGGACCGGCAGTGAGCCCTTCCTGGGCTCCACCACGGTCCTTCCGAGTCTGCAATGGCGTTCACACCCGTCAAATATCGGCAGACGGCCCTCCCGCCCCTCCAGCTGTCACTCGGCCCCACGCGGAGGATTCTCCGGGCTGTGGCGGGTGCGGGGGTGCTGCCAGCCTCCTCGCCGTCACTGTTGTCATTTTCCCAGCCGCCCTCCGTGCTGCGGCGCCTCCTCCCGGGCCCCAAAGTCAGCCGTGGGGACCACAGAGGGCTCGCGGGCCCTCGGGCCCCTACCCCTCTCTAATTTTCATCCGTTTCCCCAGCGCCGCATCAAATAAGCAGGCCGAGTAAAATCAGTGTGTTCTCAGCGCGGCTGCCAGAAGGATCCCCTGGCCCCTGCCACCCCGCAGACAAGCCTCAGCGTCCTCAGCAGCCACAGGAGGGTCGGTCAGGCCGAGGTCTCTGCAGCCAGGCTCAGGCGAACACCCAGCGAGGAGGAGGGTGGGTGCGCCCGTGGGACCCTGGGGGAGGGGCGTCCGCTGCAGCCCCGCCGGCGACAGGCACGACTTCTGCCGGAGGTGCCAGGTCAGCAGTGCGAAAAGTTAGACATTCTTTTTTTTTTTTTTTTTAGTTAAATTTTTATTTATTTATTTTTAGAGAGAAGAGAAGGAGGGCGAGAAACATCCGCGTGTGGTTGTCTCTTGTGCGCCCCCTACCGGGGACCTGGCCCACAACCCAGC